GCATATTTTGTTTCATCTCCCAACCCTATACAGGCCCAACCTGAACCCGCAAGACAAAAGATGAACCGCCGAGCGGAGTGCCAGCTATGCGTGAGCCTAAAGACCTTGAACCCCGGAACCTGAAGCCCTAGGCGACTTCGCAGGGTTTTTGCAAGCTCGTTGAAGGAAAAGCGATGGTGGCTCTCTTGTTGGACGTCTGTTCCTCTTAATTAATGGTTTCAGTGTTAGCCGAGTTCAAGTTTAGGGTGTTCAGGGTGTTCAGGGTGGGAGGTTGCTTGATGAAGTGGCCCTGGGTGGACGAGGCCACGAGGCCAACCATAGTGTATAGGGTCGAGCTTCGGCAAGGTTGCACGCCAAAGGGTCTATTTAGGGGTTTGGTTTGGGGGGTCTTCGGGTTTTATAGGTTTGGGCTTCAAGGCTCATGGTTTAGGAGGGTAAAGGCCACAAGGCTGTCTGGTTGAAACCCCAAGCCCTGAAGCCCTGCTCGGTCTGCCCAGGCGATTATCCACTGCCCACAAGAGGAGGTGCCCGACCTAAACGAGAGTCAGCTGTGAGCACGTCGCAATACGTCACATGCCACTATTATTTGCAACCCCTTTGCTCCGGGAGCCTAAAGTGGTGCAGCACCTAGGATATTGCGATACTTCGAGGATGAACGATCGGGGGGTTTTCCGGTTGCTACAGCCGCAAAAGCTAAGCCTCAAGACAACTCTGCCTGCCAGGTTCGCATCCAGCTGGTGGACATTCACCTTCAGGAAATGAGGCCGGGATGAGCGCCTGAGGCCATTTTTCACTCAGGGATGCTTTTAAGCATGGGGCCATGGCGGCTTCTTGCTGTCCCCACAGCCGGTTGAGTTATCCCCAAACCATCCATGGCCGCACCTAGGAGGAGGATGCACTGCTGTGCCCTAAACCCCAAACCCTGCAGCCAAAACCCTTAAACCCCAAACCTTCCCACAGGGTGCCAAGACCCAGATACACCCCAGGCCCTGATCCCCACCAAAAGCATCCCTAAACCATCCTAAACCCTTAAACCTACTCCTTAATGGCCATAAACACTGACCCGGAACCTTGCAGTGAGAATGACAGGGAGTCTATCGAGGACTACCCGCCGGAGGACGGACCCAGATGGCTTCACTAGGGATCTCAACTCCGCAAAGTAATTTTAATTCTTCCGTATAGGAACAATGTCGCACTGTTTTGAAGGAGCTCGTACTATGCTGGTGCTATTTCACATGATTCCTAAGCGCTTGAACTCATCAGAAGTCCAACTAAACCCGACACCCTGAAGCCACTTGTGACTCCGTGGGGCTGAGCATGCTCAGGTTTTCGGATGTAGTGCTGCACAACGCTGCTTCAGCGGTGCTGTCTTGGAGTGCGAGGGCTTCCCTGAAGCCCTGAGCCCTATGCTTAGCTAGGAGGTTTAGGGGGCAACAGGTGGCTACAAACCTCAGAACGGGACCCTAAACCGCCCTAAACCTCGAAACCCAACACCTAACATCCTAAGCGGACAGATGCGTTTCATTGCTGCTTCCCTCACAGCGGGCATGTTGCGGCATGGCCTCTTCGAGGCCGGCGCACGCACAGGTTTGATGGCAACAAGGTTTGCTCCTGGGGCTTGAGGTGTTGCAATTTTGGGTTTAGGGCAAAAGGGTTTGGGGCTTGCAGGGTTTTCAGGTGTAGGCCTTGTAATTTGGGTCCTCTTGGTTTTGCCCATCTGTTGGGTTCTGCAGGGCTTCTAGATGCTTCGAGGGTTTCCTGGGGTATCATACGGTTTGAGAGTTGACCGGGCTCGTGGGGCTTCAGGGCTTATAGGGTTACGGGTAAAGCTGCTCTCAGACTCTCGACCATGGCCTGAACCCAACTCTGTAACCCAAGCCGCTTTCCAAGTCACTCGAAACCCCCCACAGACCTTATCCCCTCAAACCCTAAATCCCCCTAAACCTTAAAAGCCTTAAACGCACGAGCCGACTGATATCTTCCAAGTGCTGGGTTCAGACTGTTTGGGTTTGGTTTTCGGGATTTGGGTTGGGTTGGAGAGAATGCAGTGTATAGACCGTAAGCCTAAACCCTAAAATTGGCCCTAAAACCCCAAACTAACAACTAGACGCTGGTGGTTCATGGTTGTCCCGAAACCCTGGGGTGCGCTTTCGGCCCCAAACCCGAAGCCCAAGACCCAACCGTACAAACCTTAAACCCTATAAACCCTAGATGCCCTGCAGTTCTGTCAGAAGGTAAAACAAATCCCTGCAAAGCCCTTCGCCCTCGGCCAGGACAGGGAGCCCGAGGTGTTGGAAGTGGTGATCGAGGGGATGGTGTGGACCCGGCTGTGTTTGCACATGTCTCTCGGGCTTTTTTAGGGTTTTGTGGGTTTAGTTGAACCCTGCAGCCTAAGCCCAGACCCTCAAGCAGCAGTCGTCACGGCGCGCCTTCGGGTCCAGGCAGAACCCTCCGAACCCGCAAAAGCTGAACTTTGTGCTGACCACGGTCAACCAGCTGATGGATCAGTGTGTGACCCAGGCCTTGGAGTTTAGTGGTTTGGCTGTGAAAATGGGAATCTTGTTTCGCATGGGCAGAAGGCACCCTGAGCCCTATAGACCCTAAACCCCAAACCCTATCATTCTAAACACCAAGCCCAAACCCTCAACCCCATTAAGCCCAAATTTTGCACCTGTGTTCCATGAGCGTCAACAGCGAAGTTCCCAAATCGATCGTGAAATCTGGCTTTCAGCATTTAGGTTTAGGAACCATGATGTCGGGAGAATCGACACGTTAAGCCCTGAACCCTGAAGAACACCCGTGGGATGAGATCGTTCTTGGCGCCCGCTGTATCCGCGCAGTTTTTCGGACGCATTCCCTGAACGTTGCCGTATGTAGTGGCTATCAGATCAAGTAGTAAGTGTATAGAGTGTAGAGGACTCAGTTCGTCGCATGCTCGCGGCGCTGTGTGAGGACATTATCCGAAAATATATCTCCAACGACAATGTCGTCCAAATCTTGATGACGGCCAAGGCACAGCTTTGAGCTAGGCTTCGAGAGAAGAATCAGCAGGTCTCCGGCGCTGAACGAAGTGCTTGGAAGGTTTTGCCACAGAGTTGTCGTGCCTAGGCGCATCGAGCAGACGGCCTGAAAGACATCTGCATGGCCAGGGTCCTGGATGTCAGACATTTTTGCACAACGCGACTCGCTGCTCTTCGATGCTCTTCGATGCTCTTCGATGCTCTTCGATGCTGACGCCACAGTCTTCACGCGAATCAGATGTAGCCTCAGCTGCGGTCCCGGACTCGTCCCATGAGACATGTCCGAGACGACTCTCAACCCCCGCTCGAAGCCCAGGACTTCATCACCAACGAAGAGAACATGAAGCTGGCTCCCGCTTTCAAGGAGCTGATCCAGGAATCCAGGACCTTCCACGGGTCACGCGGAGGCATGTTCCAGCATGTTCCAAAAACGACACACGCAGTGATCCAGAGTAAATCTGCGGGTTCGAGGAGCCCACGCTGATGCATGAGCTTCTGATGCGGCGCACAAAGTCCTCTTTGCTCGGGCGCCGCCATGCGCCTACCCTGTCCAGGCGAGAAAGCCTACAAAGCGAGAAGCTGCATCCACAGCATCAGCTTCGATAGAGTTCCAACCAGTCGCAGAGCCTTGCTGGCCAGCCGCATCCGAAGTGTATGCAGGAGGCTGAACTGCTCAAAGATTGCCCGCACGATTACCCTCGACTCAAACTTGTCTGAACACTACCAACCTGAATCAAGATGCTTCGTTTGCATGTGTGAAAGCTCTTTGAATCCCCGGCCTCCTCCGGCCTGTGTCACTCATAGCACCACGTGGGCGGTCCGGATCAGGTCACCCAGAGACAGTCACACGCCCAAAATGGACCAAGACAGGGCCAGGGTATGCCAGGGTGTCTGCCAGAGTCTGCGGCGTTCTGACATGTTGTGACTCCTTCGTGGCGTAGTTTCTGTGACCAGCGACTGCGACGCAGGTTTGGTCGGATGGTCCGTGTCCATGTCGATCTCCTAAGGCCTATGGCCCTACAAGTTCCCCTAAACCCCAAGCCCAGCACCTGAAAACCAAGAAATTTGGCGGCTGGGCCTTGCAGCTATGTACACTGGTGCGCCTGGATAAGCAACATATCCCAGCTAGCTAACTAAGGATTTTCGAGAGTTGCAATTGAGCTTAGCGGCTTTTGTTGGGGAGTATAAAGACGATTCTGAGAAACCTACTTTGGCACAACTTTGAACAGGCGCGGTTTAGGGAAAGGGAAAGGTTATCAAAATCGTAGATGGTCTTGGTAAGACTCTACAGGTTGTCTGAGAAAGCTCTAGTACAACCCTGGTGTACGCCCCAAACCCCAAGTCCCAAACCCGCAACCGTGATGCCAGATCGCACAGGGTCCCAAGGCTAAGGAGTCGAAAACAAATTGCCCCAGAACCCGCGCAAAACTCCGGACCTTAACCCCAAAACACGAAAACTGTTACACCATAAACCCCACATCCTCCCACCCACCCCCTTTGTCGAAAAGCTTTATATGGATGCATTCAAGGTTCAGGGTTTTGGGGCTCAGGGTTTATGATGGCGCAGTCCTTTCAAGCACTTCCGACCTTACCAACTTGGGTTTGGGGTTTAAGGGTTTAGCGGTTCGGAGGTTGAGGGCGTTTTGGGGTTTTTTGGGCATAGGGCTTGAAGGGTTGAACCCTCAAGGTTTAGGCAGCCTCAAGCACCTCCCCCCAAGCCCCGTAGCCACGCAACAACCCTTGCAAGGGCAGTGCTTACCAACATAGCTCATTCAAAGAAAACATAACTAACTGGCAAGCCCACGTGTCTATAACTTTGTAGACTTCACGGAGCTTGCCAGCAAGCAATTCTTTGCCGGCAGCTGTCACGTTTTCACATGTGGACACTGATGGACACTCACATGCAGAAGCCAACAAGTTCCAACAAACCTAGCTAGATCTGCATTGAACCAGAAACATGGTCTGTGGCGATCCGGGGCCATGACGACGCTGCTTGCAAAGCAAGTTGCAGCATTCCGGCAGGAGCATGGCCAAAGCCTCGGGGTGTTTCGAGGGCCCTCGCAGTACTCGCAACCTGCACTGGCGCACAGTTCAAAAGTCAGGCATTTCTTCCGTGGGGCCAAAGAGAACAGCGCCACCATCGGTGCTGTTCACGCCTCAGGCGCGGCCCATTGTGTTCAGCTTTGAGGTCGCGATCCCTCAAAAGCCCAGCGCCGGCCCGTTTAAGAGGCCTCCATGAAAGCAGTGAACAGAGTCACACCCTGCCCCCGCAGGAGGCCAAGCGCCATGATCCAGAGGCCTTCGCAGCGCTGGCGCTGCACGGCATCGAGGAGGTGTGGGACAGGGGAGTGGTCCTGGTTTGACCTCAAAGAAGGCTGTATGCGCGAAAAGGAAGCTCTCCTCTTGCAGGCTTCACTTCTGGATCCTGAGATCGCCTCGCGCCCTGCACGGCAATAGGTGTGAAGCTCTTTCAATCGTCTAGAAGTTTTGGGAAGCGAGTTCGGCTCAGGGTTGACGCGTCTTAGATCTTTACTCTGTGGAGTCCCACGATCCTACTATCTTCTACCGAGGTACAGCAGCCTGTTTGAGGGCCCCCAGAAAGACCGGGATCTGATGACCCGCGAGGTGCTGGAAGGGCCTTGTGTCCTCACATTGGAAGGTTTTTTTGACAACTTTCTGACATGCGTTGGACGAATGGCAGAAGCTTAATGGCTAATCCGAGCATCTGTTTAATTAATACCCCCACATTTAAAGAAATTTTCTTGTCCGGAAGCCCGCCGGAAGACTACTTTCCATTAGGGCTGTGAAATCAGTGGAGGCTTCCTCCCTGGCCATATCACCCGCGGTCTTGAAATCAGTGGAGGCTTCCTCCCTGGCCATATCACCCGCGGTCTTTCTTTTCGGCCCACAGAGGGCCCTCTTGATCCTTAAGCTACTGACTTTGCAGTGTGCGTAAAATTGAGTCCGAGCCATAGATTCGAAGTGGGCGCTGTCAGTTGGCAGCGGAGCCTGCGTGGCTCTTGGCGGCGTGTGTGGCGTCGCAGCCGGCGGTCCCAGGGGCCTGCTGTTTCCCTCCTCGCCTTCTAACCGATCAGCCGCGGGAAGGTGGTGACGTATCTGATCGAGCCCAGCCACGTCGACATCTACAAGAGCGAGTGAGTGAAGATGCCATCTACTTCGGAAGGACAGTCCTCAGGCGATCCTGGAGGATATGTCTACCGAGATAGAGATCCCCCACCTTCTTGGAACGGTTCCACTCCAGAGGTCTCTTTCAAGACCTGGCTTCGAGATCTTGAGCTGTGGGAGGCCACGACGGATATTCCCAAGGAGAAGAGGGCGATCAAGCTGGTTCAAGCTCTCACAGGGCCAGCAAGGGAGGCGGTGTCGTCTTTGACGCTGGCCGAGCTCCAGCATGCGGACGGCTACAAGACGGTGATGAAAGTGCTCAACGACAACTTTAAGCCGTATGTGGAGACAGCGTTGCCGAGGGCCATGGAGGGCGTGTTCTATGGCCAGGCTAGAGGTGCCAAGGAGTCCATCCCGGATTACCTGGTGCGCGCGTCGCATGCCTTGGCGGAGCTCAAAGCCGAGGGCGTGGACCTTCCGGCGAAGGCTGCCGGATACTTGCTGTTCCGGCAGGCGAACTTGGACAAAGAGCTGGAGTCCCGTGTGGTCACGTGGTTGGCTGGCGACTACACCAAGGATGTGGTGATCGCCAACCTAAGGCGACTTGACCGCATCAACTCGAGCAGCTCCGGGTCCAAGGCGATGCTCTGGACGGAGACTGAAGAGGGCGAAGGCCAGGAGGTGTATTACGAGAACCACGAGCACTATGGCGAGCCCGAGTTCTACCTGGAGGCGGAAGACGAAGAAGACGAGAACTACGTGTACCTAGAAGACGGCGAGCTGGACGCGGTGTACGAGGAAGGAGGCAATGGACACATGAACTGGTTCCACTGCAACCTGTGCAAGGCTCGATGGAAACTCAGCCCGAGAACAGCCGGAGCTTTGACCGGCCGACCAGTGGAGACCGTGAACCAGTCGAAGGAGAAGACCCTCAACCTGGCGGAGAACGCTCTGAAACAACAAGAGAAGCGAATGGCCCAGAAGCACCAGGTGGAGATGGGAAACCTGATGCAGCAGCTGGCGGACGAGCGCGCCAGGAGCGACGAGCTGCAGACTACGCTGGACTTGCGCGAGGGCGAGTACCTGGAGTTCGAGAGGGCGGTGGAGAACGTGACCGCAATGGAGGCTCACCTGTCCGAGATGGACCCGACTACCGCGAACCAGGTGCAGGCAATGGTCTCCGAGTTCAAGAGAGTTCAGCGCTACGAGCAGGAGACCCGACATCGAGCGAACACGCTGCCCTTGCGAGAAACCAAGAGCGACTGGGAGCAAGCCGTGGCCACGATGAAGCAAGCGGTGGACATGGTGAACCAGTTCTACGCGCGCATGATGACCCAAAGAACCCAAGTGGCGAAGCAACTGGCAGGAATGTGAACGTAGGCCAGAACGTCAGATCGTGGGATGGAACGCGAGTGTTGCAAAGTGCTACGCCTAACATGGTGCGTCGTTGGATGGCCAGGCCTCTTCCCTTCCTGGACGACTTTGTGGTGGTCTCCAAGAATGGTGTCCTGCAGCGAATGGACCGGCAGGACGTGGAGGGCCTGCACAGCCTGGAAGACGAGGAGGTCTATGTGGTGGTCAAAGAGCCCGAGCTGTACTTGGAGCACCAGAGCGACGAGACCAAGATCGACAAGGCGAAGTCTGATCAGATCCTGGACTACCTCGTGGGGGCTAGTGCCGGGGTTGACGCCATGACCATAGACCTAAAGGGCGTCAACCAGAATGCGGTGTGGAAGGACATCGAGAGCCAAGGTCCCAAAGTAATATACCTGAACAAGGTGGCGTCGGAGCAGTCGTCGCTGGCTTGTCGCATCGCGAGACATCAGTGGAGGAAGGGCCGTGGCTTTGTAATCAGTGCCTTGGGGCCGCTGTCATCAGGCTTGAAGAACCTGAAGGAGGCCACTTCAGAAGGCACCGCGTCCTACCTGCTATACCGCAAGAAGTACCAGATCACAAACTTCAAGGACGCAGTCAAGTATGCCATGGCGAAGGGCAAGCCGCCCCGAGCGGAGGGGGCAATCATGGACTATAACCTCGAATGCTTCCCCGGAGAGGTCGCAGAGCAGGACATCTTCGACGAGCTCGACCTTCGCCCGATGGACACAGTGGACGAACGTCCTGAAGACTCGGTCGTCCCGGTGGGTGAGCCTACAAGACAAGAAAAGGAGGCAGTGATGAAGCTGCATCGAAACTTGGGACACCCCAGCTTGGCGGATCTGGTGCGAACTCTGAAGGTGAGCCGAACACCAGACAGGATATGGCGTTGGGCGAAGGACAACTTCAGATGTCCTACCTGCGCTGCCAGTAGAACTCCGAAGGCGCATAGGCCGGCGATGGTGCCCAGGTCGTACGCGCCCAACACCGTGGTCGCGATCGACCTCTTGCAGATGCCGAATTGGGATGCTTCCGGACAGAACTGGTACTTGAACATGATTTGCCTGGGAACCTCCTTCCAGATGGTGGAAAAGCTACGAAGCAAAGAGCCCGTGAGTGTGTGGGCGGCCTTTACCAGAACGTGGGGGCGCTTCTTAGGAATGCCACAGATCCTCCTTCTGGACCAAGGGCGAGAGTTCTTGGGCGAATTTCGAGACCGATGCGCGGAACTAGGCGTGCTTCTGCACGTTATTGGGGCCAGGGCGCCACACCAGAACGGGCGCTGTGAAAGGCATGGCGGCCTCTTCAAGCAGATGATGGAAAAGGCGAAGTGGCAGAATCCTCCGTGCTCAGAGGATGACCTCAGGTTGCTGACACGTGAGGTGGAAGCAGCCAAAAATCGCCTCTTCAATCGCTCCGGCTTTTCTCCAGCTCAAAGGATGCTGGGGCAGACAGCGCGGACCAATGGGGAGCTCATGTCGGACGATGCCATTGACCCCGCGCTGGTGAACCACGGTGAGGAGGTGGAAAGAGTGTTGGCAGCGCGCAGGGCTGCCCAGAAGGCGTTCGTGGAGACCAACCTGTCCGAGGCGGCTAAGCACGCTCTCCGAGCCAGGAATCGCGTGCACCGAACCTTTCAGCCGGGAGAGATCGTCTACATTTGGCGGTCGTGGAAGGATAAAGGTGTGCTTAAGCCTAACTGGGTCGGGCCAGGCGTCGTTTTGATGCCTGAGGGAGCGAACTGCTACGTCAATGTGTTGGGCAGACTTTGGAAGGTCTGCAACGAGCACGTGCGGGAGGCCACGTCGGAGGAGGTTCGCGGAGTGGAAGCTGTGCATGAAGTGTTCCAAGACCTAAAAGAGCGCTTCAAGAAGTCGAGCAGTCGTTTAATCGAGGACCACACGGGCGACCCACTTCCACCAGGAGTTTCCCGAGGAGCCATAGTTCGCGAAGCTGGCGAAGATGAAGTGAGCGCAGAAGGCCTACATCGAGGGCTACCCCGAGTGAGGATTGACGAGCCGGAGACGCCCGTGGTGCCTATACCTATTCCGCCAGAAGAACTTCCCGATCCAGCGCAACTGCCAGAAACTCCAGTGCCAGAAGTCCCAGCAGAGCCAGCAAGGCAAGCATCAGCGCCGGAGCCCGAGGCAGAGATAGAGGTTCCCGAACTCCCCGTTCCTGAAGCTCCCGGTCGAGAAGAACGACTACGCGCAGCTGTGGACTCCGCGGTGCAGAGCCAGAGATTGGACGGTGTTCCCCCAAGAGCGCCAAGCAGGCTCGCAGAGGCGGAGAGCAGCGCCGGGTATGAGCCGGTGCGATCTTCCCTGAGAAGGCAGCAGGAGCCGGGCAACCCATACTCGTTCTTTGGCCAGGATGAGTTCGAAGAAGGACCGACGCCAGTTCCACCTCGGCGACAAAGCGAAGTGCAGCGTGACACCTGGGAGCTAAAGCCGGCCCTGGGCGTCCTGAGAAGGCATCACGTTCGCTGGCGCAGCGCGATGTGCACACCCTGGGAGACGACGAGGCTGCCAGTCAAGCTGGAAGATCTCACAGGAGAGAGGAAGACGATGGCGAAGATGAAAGATGGAAGCGTGCAAGAAGTGGAGGACGATTGGAAGAGTTTGAAACCCCAGCGAGATCTGAAGGCCAAATGGAAAGGCTTCACCGACTTCTATGTCACCAAGAAGGCCTTAAGGAACCTGAAGCATGAAACGTCGAAAGAGGTCCCCAACTTTGACGTGGAGACGACCGAAGCGTATACGTTCATGGTCCTCAATGCCGAGACCTTCGTCATGAAAAAGGTGGCGACGGATGAGGTAAGCGAGGCCGACATTCCCGAAGAGGAGTGGCCAGCCTGGCGACTACAAGACGCTGAAGAGTGGAGCAAAATAGAAAGTTCCGGCGCGATGAAGGTGCTGTCGGTGGAGGAGTCGAGAAGAGTCCTCAAGGAGCTGGAGTCGCAGGGCAAGCTGAACCGGGTGATCGGGTCAAGAATGGTCCGAAGGCTGAAGCCCGGGGAACAGATTGGCGAGACACCGTCAAAGAAGTCTCGCTTTTGCGTGCGAGGTGACATGGATCCCGATGCTCTGGACTTGGAAAGATACAGCCCGACGGTCACGACACAGAACTTGCAAGTGGTTTTGCAGCTGGCCGCAAGTATGAAGCTGAAGGGGTCCTGCGGGGACCTGAAAGCAGCCTTCACCCAGTCGGACCCTCTCTTGAGACCAGGCGGCAAGCTCTACGTGAGGCAGCCAAAAGGGGGTCTACCGAACATGGACCCAGAACAGATCATCGAAGTGGTGGCCGGCGTTTACGGGCTCATGGATGGTCCCACACATTGGCGCCAGACGCTGAAGAGCTACATCGTGAAGGACTTGAACTACAAGCAAAGCAGGCTAGACCCAACCATCTTCGTTAAATACTTAGAGGGCACCGTTGAAGGGATCATAGTGATAGAGATCGATGACTTGCTGTGCTTTGGCAACCGAGATCATGAAGTTCAGCTGGCAAAACTGCGCGAGCGCTTTAAATTCGGAAAATTCAAGCAGTTGATGCAGCTCTTGGATGGCACGACATTCAACGGGCGACGCATCAGACAACTGAGCGACTACACCGTCTGCATAGACATGGGCAAGTTCGTGTCCGAAAGAATGGCGCCAGTGAGTCTGGAAAAGGGACGCAGAGCTCACCCCGAGGCGGACGCGACAGAGGAAGAGAAGAACAAATTCAGAGGTGCCGTAGGATCTTTAGCGTGGGCCGCCAAGGAGTGTCGTCCAGATGCCGCCGCTGGAGCCAGCATAATGGCATCCAAGTTGAGCACGCTCAAGATCAAGGACATTCTCGAGCTGAACCAGTGCATCAATAAGGTGCGCGCTTGGCCAGACCTCACCTTGCGCTACTTCCCAATAGAGTGCGAGGACCTGAGATGGGGCGTGGTCACGGATGCAAGCTTCACCAACTACAGCGACGGCTCCACCCAGGGGGCCTTGGGAGTCATAGCATTCCACAAGGACATGTTGCAGGGGCACGAAGCTACCTGCTCGCTGGTCTGGTGGAAGAGCGGAAAGCTGAGAAGAAAAGTGAACTCAACCTTGGCCGCCGAGACTCAATCGCTCAACAAAGGTCTAGGAGATCTTCTGTGGGCGAAAGCAATCTGGAATGACTTGATCCAGGAGAAGTTCAGCCTCGAAGTTTTCAAAGAGAACGCCAGAGCCCAGGCCGATTTGGTGCTGCAGAGTGCCAAGGCAGATCACACGCTCAAAGATTCGCTGACAGTTGTGGATGCGAAGTCGCTCTACGACAACCTCCGAAAGGAGGGTTCGCTGGCCCAAGACAAGTACACCGCGCTGGACTTGGCGATAGCTCGTGAGAGAATGGATGGCGTAGGCGCCGAAGTTCGCTGGGTTGAGCATCAAGCCATGATTGTAGATGCCCTCACAAAGATTCAAGGCAACGCTGAGGCCCTAAAGAAGCTCTTAGAAAAAGGGACATACCAGTTAGTTGCCGAAACCGAAAGGCTTGAAGAGCGGGCTGAGCGCCGAGATGCCGGGACCGTGAAACATCGGTGAATGGCCAGAAAGAGTTTTGGGAGCTGTGAAATCAGTGGAGGCTTCCTCCCTGGCCATATCACCCGCGGTCTTGAAATCAGTGGAGGCTTCCTCCCTGGCCATATCACCCGCGGTCTTTCTTTTCGGCCCACAGAGGGCCCTCTTGATCCTTAAGCTACTGACTTTGCAGTGTGCGTAAAATTGAGTCCGAGCCATAGATTCGAAGTGGGCGCTGTCAGGGTGGATTTCGTATGGGGATAAAGAAAATTTTTGGGGGGGTTGAAAAATCTGTCGGCAGGCTTCTTGTTTTGCTTGCGGAGATGCGAAGCTACAGCAATTCAGGGATCTGAAGCCTTTTGTTTTCAATAGAGAATCAACACAGGGCCATGGTCCAATTATTGCCGAACCCTGCCTTGCTTATTGCGCTGGGCGGGGGCCCCCCCCAATTAAACAGATGCTCGGATTATTGCATAGACGGCTGCCCCGTGCAGGAGAACGCGGCTCTGGATGAGAAAATTCATCACCTGCTTCTGCTCTTGCTCGAAGCCCGGATCTGCCACAATCTCCAGCAAGGGGCCCGCACCGGTCAGCAGCCCTTGATCGGTCACAGGTCGCCGCATCTGCAAGCCCGGGCAGCACAAGAGTGTCTGGAAGGCCTTCTGTACAGGTGCGAGGCCAAGGGTGAAACAAATGAAGCCAATGCGTTTGCATTGTGTTTCCAACCCTGAAAGTGGCGTAGCTCGGTGGCGCCAGGTGTCACGTGCACAGGTGGAATGTGGACGATCTCCTTGGAGCCGCATTGCCCCACCATGCTTGTGGCTTGGAGCAGTGCGCAGCCCGTGGAAGCAAAAGAGGGGCTCTGGTTGATGTCACTGAGGACTCGCCCCTGTTCACAAAGCTTGTGCAGGCCGGCTCTTCCAGCGGACACTGGCTAATTTAGGCAGCTGCCAGCGCTGTCTGTCCGTCGCATTCCGCGACGGCCTCCATTACAGCACGAAGCCAACGATGCCAAGATCGCCACTTGCAGGGCTTGCACGTCGAGGGCAAGCCGCTCTGGTCCTGGCTCGTGACCCTGAAGGTGTTCCAGACATTGTGGGGAGAGAGAGTGCGCGTGCCGCTCCTTAAGAAAGCTTGTCCGCTGACCCGGAGCAGGCAAAGCCGGCCACGTTAGTGAGGTCGGCGTTGGCAAAGTACTGCACCAAGGACTGTAGGCCACCAAGAGTTCAGAGTTCGATGAACTCAGTGGTGACCCCTATGGCTTGGGCCGACCCCGCTATGGCCCTCACCAGCTTTAGCTCGTCCTGCGAGGACATCGCCCTTCTGAGCTTTGTTGGCAAAGTCTTGGAGGACTGGCATGATGTGGCAGCACACAAGCACCTCCAAGCTGCAAAACACCATGCGAAGCCCCCCCAGTTTCGCCACCATCTGCCTGTCTGCTTCTGTCTGATGCTTTTCCTTTAAAGGAGAACCTGAAGCTGCAGAAGGCCAACCGGGCTCTGATGACCTTCTACGTGGCCCTCTGGCTCGACACGCTGGCGCTCTTAGGGCCGGGGCCCTCATAAACGCACCCACGGAGAATCTCGGAAACAATTCCGAACGCCGGTGGGGGGCCGTCGCATTCTTTTGAGGTCACCGGCTCCGGAGTTGGTTCAGGCGCTGAAGAAATAAGTTTTGCTCTCTGTCCACGATGCTGTGCCGGGCCCCTTTGTGGGCCCTCTGCTTGGCCAGGCCCTGCTCCCCACGCTGCTCCTGATGCTCCGACGGCCCAGCCAGAAGGACGCCTTCCATGCTGCTGGCGGCCAAGAAATGGGGCAGACAACTGTGTTCCGGGTGTTTTCTCAGCTGTTTCGAAGTTCGGAAGCTGTCAAACCCGCATCCTGAACTTCTAAACCCCCCAACCCGAGAAGGAAGTAGGGCATCGAGTCGCTTAACACCCTGGGAGGCTGACAGGGTAGGTGTTGCCGCATCGTTCCCAGGGCCTCACCATTGCGGGCGCGCTGTGCGCCAAGGTGGAGTTGGAGGCAACTCAAGTTTTGCAACTGTGCGTACTCGGGCTGGTAAGTAACTAGCGCTTTGCAGGCAGCAAAAGTGCTTTGTTGAAGGCGAGTGTGCAAAGCAAGATCATCAGCTTTGCTGCCCGGGAGGCTGTGCCTAGAGCTGTTCCTTCACATGCACAGCTGACCATGAGATGGACCCGCACCTTTCTGGTAGCCTTCATCCGGCCTGTGCAGCATTTCACACACCAAGCCAAGCTGTAACAGAGTTTGCAGCGATGAAATGAACTTCTCGCCTGAGCTCAGTGCTGCGCCGCGGATAACCGCCTGCAACAACAGCGACAGGCTGCTGAGCGTGGTCCGCACGGACCTGCTGAAGAGCCTGCAGAACTCACATGATGTCACAACGCCTGGAAGCAGCGGGAGATGCTTGGCACAGATGTAATGTGCATCGGCGGAGTCGTTGACCTGCATGACAAGGACAGCCTGTTCAAGGCCCTTGAGAAGTCCAAACTGCTGACGCGGGAAAGAGTGGTGCATCAACCACGGCAACACCCGAATCTCACAGCCTCGTAATGCCTACGACAAGATTCAGTCTGACATTGTGCTGCAGGTCATGAACGACTACTGTTCCTGAAAGAAGTTCGCACGGCACATGTGCAACAACCTGGAGCACGATGACGCGCAGCTCGTGATGCTGAACCTCAGCCACTTCGTGAGACTGAACATGAAGAGTTTGTACGAGTCGTTGATGCAGATGCCATTCATCGTGACTGCCGCGCTGTCCAGGGGCAGACCAATGCCGCGAACCTTTTTGAGTCGACAAGCCTGGGCCGCAACCTCTCCTACCCCGACTTCCCCGACTTCCTCGATCCAGTAGGAGAGGATATCCAGAAGAGCGTGTGATCAAGCCTGGAAGCAGCTAAGTGCTCTGTGTCGGCATGGTTCCAGCTGCAGCACGCTCCAGTGGACGCTTGACATCGGATGACAGCATGAGGAAGTTTGGAGAGCTGGACATCCTCATGCTTCGCCAGCAGGTGCCTCCGAGGGACGTCACGAACATGGCGGATTCTTTTGCCAGATTGTAAACTCGCACAATTCCTTCAGGAGCTGATCTGTTCCGAGAGCGTTAAAGAAGATCACCCAACTTCAGATCAAGGAGCCCACGAACAACCCCGAGTATCCCTGAGCCTCGGCCTGTATTAACTAATCGTAACATACAACCTAAGTTTCGGCCCGTATTATACTATAATACGGGCCGAAACTTAGGTTGTATGTTACGATTAGTTACGATGCTCTACGCTTATGCGCTTATGGACAGGACGGAGCTCGGTGAGCTCGGTAGAGCCTTTTTTGCAAAGGGCCCTTGCGATTCCCTCAGCCCCACACGGCAGTGACCTGCACATTAGGTGGCATGCGGTTGACCTGGGGCCGTGTGCCCCAGTGTGCCCCACAGGAAGCACTGCCGGCAAAAACAAAAATAGGAGTGACAGCAAAAAGACCGGCAAGGGATGGCCCTCATCCGGGCTGAGCCTGCCATATTCAGACACGAAGCAGCTCTGTTGTGACCGTACATGACTTGTCGCAGGCCAAAGGCGAAGAAGGTCAGCCCGCGACTTCGCTGATGGCCGCAGTCATGCAGCTGCAGGCCCGGACAGATGCACCATGATGCACCCTCCTTGCATGTTCCATCGCACTCCGCGGAGCTCGTGTCCTGCATGCTTATGCAGGCTGTTCAGGGCATTCAGAGCAGCGCTGTAAAGGCCCTCGCCAAAAACGGCGCGGAGGCTGCCAGGGTTTGGAGCTGTCGTTTGCAGCGAAGCCATGCACGAAGCCCGCAAAAACCATCACTCTCTTTAATTGTAGGAGCTGCTCCAAGCTCTGCCCGTCGGGGTCGACTGCGGTAACCTGCTGGCCTGCGTGGTGGAGGCTGGTGTTTGCCCGCTTCACGCAAATTACGACTCACGATGATTCATGCTGCCCCGCACGCTCCCTACGCGGCTCACGCTACCACGTCGCATGCTACCAGCATTCCTTACTTCGCTCTACTCCCAGGAGCAGCTTCACGACACACTTACGGATTAATGCTATATTTTCTTGTTTCTTATTTCGCAGATTCATGCGCGATTCACGCAACTCCCATTTAGCCGATTTACAGTACTCTTCTGCCCATTTCATGCTATTATACTTTATTGGCAGATGTATGCGTTTTTGTGTGGTTCGTGCAATGCAAGCTTATTATATATGGATTTACGCTACTCGCCCGCGCAGCCGTTTAGCATTTAGCATGTACCAGTCTCGGGGTGGGGGTTGGGGCTTGCTAGGGACATGGCCGGAGCATAATCTGCACGCAAGTTGAGTCCAGGAAGGAGCTTTCAACATCTCCCGCATCCCCACACTCAACCCGAAGTCCGCTTCTTGGGTGGCACGAGCCCGCGGTTTCTGGCTGCATGAATACGCGCGTTACACCTCTTTCCGGCTTAACAACACATGGGGCAGTCATTACCGCGGAGTCCAAGATAGCCGATAGCTGTGCATCAGGATTCATGTTTTTGCCATCCTGGCTTTCAGTTCGCGAACCTCTTTCTTGGCCCCTTTTCGTCCTTCTGGGCTTGGGCTTGGGGGGATGCCTTGGATAATCTTGGCCTGTGGGCCCGCTCACCTCTGTGCTTTTCATCCGATGCCATGTATGCAACATTCTATTCTATACTATACATATACATATGCATCTACATCTACATATACATATACATTCAAGGAAATGTGATGCCACAGAAGCCCCAACAGGCAGGCCTGGGCATACTTGCAGATGCAAGTGAAGCCAGCGGCGAAACGGAGGTGGGACGTCGATAGCATGCGATGCTCCGAATTTTGGGGCTGTGTTTCCACGTGATCGGAGACATCGAGGCCCTTGTGCTGGGTGTCTTGAGGGACGCGGTCACATTGCGGTGCTACGCCGCACCGCTGAGTGCCGCGGTGCTCCAGGCTGGATATGGCGGAATCTCTGCTCGTGCTCCCTTGGACGGGTTTTCAGTATCGTCGTTGCTCCACCTCAAACGCAAGGCTTACATGGCGGCGATTGCGGGGATCAGCTCCGCGAAGGAGCGGAAGCGAATCACGAAGGTCTACCAGGCGCTTCCCGCTTGCCAAACAGATGCACACTCACGGAGGCAAGCGGAGCAGGTAACCAGTTCTTGCACAGGCTTCCAGATCTCCTTGATTGTGCGTGTTTTTCCTGTTGCAAAGAAGCCAAGTCGTAGGAGAGTTTCTTTGTCAATGGCAGGAGCCCGTGCAGCTCCTCGGTGACACAGTTCCCGCAGCACTGGCGGAGGCTCAATGCTTAAAGCATGCGAAAGCCCAGATGGCTGTGGTGGGTCCGTAACCAGGCGTCCTAATCGTTGGAGAGACTGGTCGGAGAGAGTCTTGGAATTTGGGAGGCCTTCCGCTGGACCGTGGACCAGGCGCTGGCCCTGGAGGTGGACGCGGAGCCGCTGGTCAGGGCCTTTCTGGAAATTGGTCTGCCCAATGTGGAGTTACGGAGTAGGCCGAATTGCAGGAGCTCCTGAAGGGAGTGCTCGGATCATGAGTTGTGCAATAGTGGATGTCTTCAGAGAGAGTTTGCACGGCTTTCAAGAGGTGAACCTGCTGGCCCCTGCCTGCGCGGCTGTCCCAGACGATGGCGACGCTTCAGAGAAGCTCGTCCCAGCCGTGCAGGCGCCCAAAGCCGACGAAAGTTCCCAGAAAGCTCCTCAGGGTGGATCCTGGCATGTTGGGGCTTGGACGTGACGCCGCGTTTTGTTGTGTCTGTCCGGAGGCCTTCCACCACAAGTCGGCCAAAGCTTGGCTCCAAGACATTGCTCCGTCCTGCAATGACCTCCGAAGCTTTCAATGTATGTCCTGCTTATACCTCCGAGGTTCGATCCCGGGCAGTTCAGAAGGCGGTTGCGGAACTTGCCGAGCTGCCTGAGAAGGGTGGGGAAGGTGTGCGCCCATGCTGTGCTGCAATGCTGACTGTGAGACAACACCTGGAACAACCGCCTTGTAACTAGACTAGTGCTGAACTATAGAATGAATGTTCAAGTGCTAAGTCAGCCGTCTGAAAATCTGGGTTTCTATGCCCGTGCGTAACACAACAAGATAAAGTCTTGTAAAACTGTAAGCAAGCAATGAGGCCTATCCCCACCGTGCACCCTTTGGATATCGTTGTCACAACGTCCGCAGGTAGGATCATGCAATGCTCACAAATCCATGTGGGGCAGGTGCGCAAGAGCGGTGCCGCCTGATGGCCAGCGCTAGACTGAGTTGCTCGCGCGGTAGGGCAACGTAACGTATTGTAACGAAAGTATGTATGTATGCATGCATGCGCCATGTGTGTGTGTAGATATGCCCACACTTATGAATCTGCATGTATATGTGTATTTGTACACATGCAGATCAGATATGGTTGTCTTTGTATGTTTTTCTCACATGTGTAGTTCTGCCATGACAGATGCTGCCAGGCTTGGCTCTTCAGGTGGTGAATGACGAGAATGCGGAGGCAAGGACGGAGCAAGGGCCGTGTAGAATCCAGAAGGACATGAAAAACCATACCGCTGCATACTGCTGTCGGCCGTGTGTGGCGACTTCTCTCTGAAGGTTGTGGCAGTGGCCCTGAAGCAGGAAGCTTTGTGGACCTCCGGCGAGGCCAAGTTGCGTCGGTTTGCCGAGATGTGCAAGGAGATGTTCCAGGGCTTTCTTATGTTGTCTTTTTCAGGTTGCCCCGAGCATGGCCACCTCCGTGCTAAGCACCGCTCTTCGCAGGAGAGCCCCATAAGTTTCGCAGTTTCGCAGTCATCATTGAAGCCCCGTATCAAGCCCGCTGTGTCAAGTGTCTTGGGCCTCGCGTTATCTCGCGTTGGCCTCAGAGACATTGCAGGCTTCTCCGAGGCGTCCAGCCCAAGGGGAAGAATCTCCAAGAGCTGTTCCGATCTTTGCTCCAAGAGGCCGAGGGAAGATGGAAGGGGGAAAGGCGCCTTTGTTGCTTCTTTAGTTTTTTTGCGGGACTGGGGACTGCCCAGGACTCGCGCGTGCGGGCCCTCTTTCCCCTCATGATCCAAGCATCCGCTTGGATCTACGGGCGCGAGGATACAGAACAGGACGAGCGGAAGAGGCCCATCGCTCTCAAGCGCAGATTCAACGAGCAATCCGGGCAAGTTGCTGTCTGCGCCCGAAAGCTGCACACGGCACGGAAGCCTGAAGCACCGATCATTGGGCAGGCTGGATGCCTTGCTTCTCCCTGTCCTCCTGCTGGCTTTCTCCGGCCTGGATGCTGCAGAGGACGCATTGCCTTAAGAAACACCACCTGTGAAGAGAAAGCTGAACATCATTTTCATGGCATATCGTGAGTAGTCTACCACCATGGAAGATCATCGTTATATTAACTTCTAGCAGTTCCAGTATTGCACCCCTCCCTCCCCCCCCCCCCCCCCCCCCCCCCCCCCCCCCCCCCCCCCCCCCCCCCCCCCCCCCCCTTTCCGAGCCTTTCGAGGAGGCCGCCGGGCCGCTCCAGCGCTTGGAGGCCGCAGCGGCGGAGTTCTGCAAGGCAAGGGTTCATTGGGTTCATTGACGATTGCGCTTTCGCACTGCGTACGTGCATGTGTATAGTCATAGGAGGGGTGTGAGCTTGTCACATGTAAATTTCTGCTTAATGTCAGGGGGGGGCCGGGGCGGGATTTGGAGCTGAAGATCATCTGAAATGCCAACGCGGAGGTGTCGGAGGAGCCGCTGCTGAAGGTCCCCGCAGGCGGTGCGGAAGCCGGCGAAGCATGGGGTGCGCGGATCGGGGCGGTGGCGCAGGCGCCCCGCGAGTTGAGGGTCGCAGTGCATCTTAAGGCTTAAGGCTTATAGGGGATATGATGTGTTTGGGGTGTAGGTCAGTGTAGGTGGCCGGAGATGTGGAGGGGCGTGTGCAGTTCTTCTCCTTTTTGTTCTTTTGCCGGCGTGGACCAGGCAGCCGATGCCGAGGCTGCTGGGCGTCTGGCCGACCTGGCAGCCGAGGCCCAGACCTCTGAGTCCAAAGTTTATTCGATTTCAGAAGGCTTGTGCTGGGGCTGTGATATCTCAGTCTTGGCTCCGTCTACACAGTGGGTCTATGCCGATCCAATCCGATCCCCGAAGCCTCCCAGCAACCCTCGAACCTGAAGTTAAATCCCGATCGTAAGCCTTAAAATCTCCCAGACCCTCCCCCCCTCCCAGCACTCTGAAAATATGTCCGATCCGAAGCCCAAACTGTGAAGCCCGACCAGGAGTCGATTCTTGGAGGCGTGGCTGCTTTTTGGGGGTCTCTTTGTTTAGTAATGATTGCAATGCCTTACGAAGTTACAAAGCTTGACAGTAGTATGTAAAATGTACAGCCATGCGAAGCCCACATGCTGTAAACCCTTGTGCATCTCCCGTGTGAGGCCTCGGCAGCCAGACAGCCGCCGCCTTGGCGTTGGCCGCATCACTCCCCCGGCTGCAGAAGAAGGCGAGTCGCGACTGGAGATGCGCCATGTTTTGCGTGTCCCTCTTTGATCTTTAAGTGTTGTTTTAAATGGAGATGCGAGCCGGGGTGTGCCTTGTCTGCTTCTTGGGCCAGGCCCCACAGCTGGTGACCCGAGGTGCCACAGCCTGCCAGAGGCCAGGAGCTTGGGTTGCGAGATCCCCTTGTCCTTTGAGCCTTGAGCCTGGCCCAGGCTCGCCAGGCTGTCGGATTCCGCAGAGCTGAGGACGCTCTGGAAGGACTGGGGCAAGGGAACAGCACTCCACAGCACTTCGGGGAGACTCCGTCTCAAGCTGAGACTGATGAGGCCTGCGTGGAGGCTGCAGCCCCTGGCCCTTCCGGCCCCGTCCGGCGGAAGAGTGGCAAAAGCTCGACCGCCAGTGGTGCAGGCGAGTCTTTTACGCAGTGGACGTTGCAATGCATGCTGACAACTCCACTACGTAATCGTCATGGCTCTCAGTCTACATTGGCTTCATTGGCTCTTCTAACTTTTAGCATTTTCAACCCCTTTGGTAGGTGAGGCCCCGGCGCGGGTCTTGTTGGAGGTGGCCCTGCAGCGGCCCAAGGTCTTCGCGGCACCTCGGCCCGAAAGCGCAACAACTCAAATTGACCTCGTGGGGCCCGATGAAGGGCGTCTAAGACTTTAAGGTCGATGCCGAAAAGGCCCTCAAGGCCGATCTACCCAGCTGCTCAGGCAGACTTGCAGCTAAGCCTGCAGAACCATGCGGCCGCGCTGAGACCAGCACCTTGGCCGCCTTGGCCTTTTGTGCCATTTGCAGCCCTGCAACTAAGTGCTTCCAAGCAAGACCCCCCCAAACGCTGCCCTTCCCCTGCCCCCAACAAACGCTACAAACCACTCGCTTAGAAGGAATAGTGAGTGGGCTGAGGCGCTGCTTCAGCTGGCGCTGGGATCCGGGGGAATGGAAGGCCCCGGAAAGCTGTGGGCATCGGACCTTCATACTATTGATGCAGTACGCTGCAAAGGGGTTCGTAGGATGCCTGACAGTTTGGAGTCAAAAGCAGGCTCGCCTGCCATCACCGCCAACGCACTTCTGCTTCTCCGCAGCCTCCTCGCCAGCTGGGGTGCTGCACCGACCTGAGATCTCCGCCTGTCCAAGCACCGAATGGAAAGAGAGCACCAAAACAGCGCGGTTGAGACCGCTGAGCAGGACCAGATGATGCTAGTCCTGATCCTGGCCCGCCTTGCGAGCGCAGAGGTGCGTCGCAGGGCGCATTCCTTCGTGGGCCCTACCCTACAGAGCATGAAGAGCTTACAGGGGGTTCGAGGTTTTGGGATAGGCGGCAGTAGGGCATGTAGGGCTCTCCTGCCAGGAGAGGCAAGTTCGCGCTGCCGCGGTGGCCCTGCTGGAGACTCTTCAGGAAGACTTGTGGGATGCGGTGGGGAGGGTGGTTGTGGGGCGTGAGTGCCCTCTAATAGACTCCAAGCCTCCTGGAGCCAGGAGGTGAAGATCGCTCAGGAGTCCGGCATCGACGCGTTAGTCGAGGCGCTCGGATGGAGGGCTACGAGAGCTGCAATGAGAGCTTCACCCGACTGCACCATACCGCGTGCTCCGTGGTGCTTGATGCCTCCCCCCAACTGAAAAAATTGACCTTGCTGGGAAGCCTTGATGTTTTGAGGATTGAATGGCTGGCCAAGGGACCACCAACCTGATGTATCCCTGAAGCAACCAGAAGCACTCAGGGACACCTTGGAGCCTTGGAAGAATCTGGCCATCGCAATGTGCAGGCCGCAGGGCTCCAAGATCAATTGTGCGGAGCTGCCCCGAAATGTCCAGGCCGTGAGGGACCTGAGGTCAATAGCCCTCCGCGCGGCGAAGGACCCACAAAGAACGCGCCCAAGGGGGGCGGGCCCTGCCTCTCATTGGGAAAGGCAGCCAGGTGACGGTGAGGCCTTCAAATTCTCGGCGGGGTGGGGCAAGAGCCAAAATCGGCAAGCCATCGCCGAAGGCGTGCCGGGAGAGGCCCCCCGCCCAAAGTTATGAGAAGTTCTAAGTTTTACAGCCTCGCGTGGATTTGTCTCCATGTGCTGCTTGCCGTAGGAGAGGCTCTTGCTGCCGACTGCGTCTGTGGTGCCGGAGAAGGCGGCAAAGGGTTTATAGGGCCCATAGGGTTCGTGCATGCGGTTTTGGGGTGTGACAGTTGGCTGAGGCGGGCTGGGCTCTCTCTCTCTCTCTCTCTCTCTCTCTCCCTCTCTCTCTCTCTCTCTCTCTCTTAACTCTCTCTCTCAACTCTCTCTCAACTCTCTCAACTCTCAACTCTCTCTCTCTCTCTCTCTCTGTCACTCTCATTGCGTCAGAATTCGACTCCTGGAGGTGTGGCCCTCCTTGGGCCAGCAGCTGCCTGCCACGCTGTGGTCCACGCTCCTGGAGCGGATCCTGAAGCAGAAGGCAGAGCTGGTACAGGACAGAGTCTCAAGACTTCAGTGCATCGAAGAATCGAAGCAGCTCTGAGCCTCTCAGCTCGGCTACATCGTAACTCTTGGCCCAGGACCCCATAGCGGCCCAGAACGTCCTGCAGAAGCTCCTCGGCCTCAAGGGTGGCCTTCCGAAGACTTCACGGGAGCAGGCGCCATCCCTTCTCATTTGTTTTGGGCTTCGGGCCTTAGGGCCTTAGGGTCTAGGGTTCAATTTTTGGTTTGTAGGGTTTTGGGGTTCATCATGGGTGTGGGCTGATGTGCGCTCGTTTGCGATGCTCTGCATGGCTGTGATGTCTCACGGAAACCCTGGACACCACACCCCACAAGCGGCCGACGCACAACCCAGAAGCGCCGGGAGGCATGCAGCTTCTGGCTGGTGGGCTTGGCGCGCCTGGCTACTCGGCTTTGAAGATGTTTCTCGGCGGTGTATTCCACTTCGCTCAATGGCCCTCTTCAGGTTTAACAGAAGCATTGCTACAAGCCCTCTTTAGTCATCATAAATCTGATCCGTCATGGCCGCTGAGCGCGCTGAGCGCGCTGAGCGCGCTGAGCGCAAGCCGATGCTGAAGCCGGAGCAGATCGGACTCGGCCGGGTTTGGCATCGAGGAGTTCCGGCACACGGGCCACCCAACTTGCCACTTGACCGTCCTCAAGAAGAAATGGTCGCCGCCCACATTCTCCCACAACAAGCTTTCCTTCTCGAGTTCAAGCCACGGTTTTTTCACAATTTCAAACAAACGGACTGATGCTGAATGGCATCCTTCCATATCTACTATTTGCAAACGTTTGACGACGCTCACCAAAAGATTCGCTAGCAGACGGATCGGCTGTCTTCTGTGGCAGCACCCTGCTGGCTTGAATGGCATCACCCATGCAGCCACTGCGGCCCCTCCTCGGGGCCTGCGGCATCTTGCGCAGGGGAAACAGGGCTTCGGGTCCAGGCGTCGGCTTGAGTGATGTTAAACGCATGTTCTTGTTCTACAGTTCGGCCAGCAACTGTCAAACGTTGACGACGCTCACCACAGTGTCGGCTTTGTGTCAACAACTTCCTGAAAATCCTTCAGTCAGGTTTGATGTTTGCGACTTAAGGCCCCCCTGCCCCCCCCCCCCCCCCCACTTGCGGCAATTCATGGAGTGCACGTTGCGGTTCTGTAAAGGCCGTGTAGGGCTTTACATAAAGCACACAAAGCTTGCGTTGGGGTTGTTCCGCCTCGGGTCTTCTTGTGGGTTTGTACCAACTCTTGTCAATGGACGCCCTAAACCCCAACATGGGGGGGCCAAAAAAAGCGGAAAAAAAAATAGCATCTGCAATCTGCTGGCCGAACTCGAAGGCACCGGACCAGGCCGCGCTCCTCACCGCCCTCCCTGGCGCCCTGGCGCTGCGCAGCGTCCAGGCCGGCGGAGATCCGGAGAGTTTCGACATCACCTTGAGAAGAAGGGCCCCATGCCCCCATGCCCCCATGCCCCCACCCCCCCTTCCAGCTTAGTGAAGTAACGGGGGCTTCCGGGCTGCAGAACCCTACAGCCCCCTGCCCTTGAGGAGCCTTTGGCCAAGACGGCGCAGTGGGCTGCAAAGTCCACAACGGCCTTTTGGACCTTTAAGAGATGTCAAGTAGCCACCGTATTGTGACATCAAGACGATACCTGCAAACTTCAAACTCCGAGCGACGATGTCAATTCAATGCCACTTTCGGCTAGGCTGCTAGGCCCTGGCACAGAGAGCCGAGGCACCTGCCCTGCTGCTGGCTGCCATGTCCCTCCTGCTGCACATGGCCGGAGGCGGGCGCGAAAGGGCGTGCGCGAATGAGAGAAGTTCGTTGGATGCGCAGGTGCCATGCTGAGCGCCGCCGAGAAGATCCGGACTGCTGCCCAGGCCACCTGAATGGAAACGGACCTTCAGAGACAGCTACCGACATCTCTTGCCTTGTTGCAGTGACCGACTATCACTTCAACAGGGCAGTTGGCTTGCCTTCTATCTCACCATTCTGTCTGAGGAAGCTGCGGTTGAGGCGTTGAGGCACGCGGTTGCAGATATTATCATTTGCAACAGAATCGTGATGCAGTGATGCAGCTTCGTCCCACACCCATTGACGTTGTGATGGTGAACTCGACACCGTCGACACCTGTGATAAGGCAGGTGGCTCTGCCTTTCTGCTTGGGCCTAGCAGAGGTCTGTGAGAAGGCCCAGGAGGCCAGGCATGAATAGGGTTGACTGCCGCCCCATGTCGCCTTCGCGGTGCTTGTGTCGCACATAGATTCTCACGCAATCGGATGCACCGCGGTGCAACGGAAGGTTTAGCGGAGTTTAGCGGCTGGCGCAAGATGCCTGTCTTCCGCCAAGCATGGGGGCTGCTGCAACTCTGAGCGAGTAGCTCGTGCTAAACATGGGCTGCCGCAATTATGATCAAACAGCTCGCACCAAAAATGAGCTGCTGCAACTCTACCCAAATAGCGCGTGCCAAACATGGGCTGCCGCAACTCTGACCAAATAGCTCGCGCCAAGCATGGGCGCCAGACAAATCCCACACCAAGCTCCCAAAGCCCCTGAAAGGCAATAAGTACTAAGGCCAGAACGCCCTGAACACAACCCACTGCCGAGGAAGTCCCTAAACACTGTTATTTTTATAACATGTAACAAAAGCAAACTTTATAAGTTTGTGTTTGTATCGATATGTATGTATGTATGTACACATGTATGTATGTATGTATGTACGTATGTATGTATGTACGTATGTATGTATGTATGTAGGTAGAGAACAACTGTGTTTGTCTTGCATCGGGGGAGGCGCCGGCTTGGGATTCCTCGCTGGTCCACCTGGCAAGCCGAACATGCCGCACCCTGAGCAAAGCACCACGCGAGTCCGGTTGCAGGGTTTTGGGTTTTGGGTTTTGGGTTTAGGGTCAGGTTTGGGGTTTCGGGTGGGAGTGTGAAAGGGCAAAAGGAGGAATGTGTGTGCTACAAAATGAAAGGGTGAATGCCCAAACCCTAAACCCGAAACTCCGGCCTATTGACCCTATCGCCCTTTTAGCCCATAAATGCCCTGCACACTCTCTAGTCATCCCCTTTTTGGGGGGTTTATGAAAATGGTTGGAGTCCTGGAGGGTTCCTATAAGACTCCTGGGGGGAATACCCGTAGACCCTAAACTCGGAGGTGCGGCGCTCAGCAAAGTGGCAGGGGCCTTGGCGGCGCAGTCGGTTCACGAGGAGGTGGTCGCCGAGTCCCTAAAGACACTCTTCAGGCAGGTTTTGGGAGCATCCGGGGGCTTGCAGGGGCCTATTTTGGTGTCTCTATAGGGCTTAGGTGTGTTTAGGGTGTTTGAACTGTGTAACCACCTCATGACCTGACCATTGTGCCCACCCCCAAGCCCGCTCTAGTACCTTTTAAGAAGGAGGAGCCATGCTGGACGTGGCATCAGGCGTTGTCGTGCGGAAGATAAGTTGCATGTTTGCCGCCTTCACCGGTTCGTCCACGCTCTGCGTAGACTGTGGGCGAGGGGGGCTTAGATTTTCTTTGTTTCCACAGAAAAGCTCCTCCAAACCTCGATCGAGGGCTCATGCCCCCTCCAGCCGCCAGCGCAACGTGTTCAAGCCTTGTGCAAACCCCCCAGCTGACCCCAACATAAACGGCCTGCCGGTCCAACCACCCACCAAGCCAACCACCCACCGAGCCAACAGGTTCAGCGTTGCCGTGCGTGGCTTAGCGCCGGCCGCGGACGAGAGCGGCTTCTCCTCGGTGGGGAGGCCCAGTAATTGTTGAGCAACTCCGAGCATGCTCTGAAGCGAGATGTGGACGCCCATGGAGGAGTGCCGTGTTGACATGGCTGTTTAGGACATGCTGAGACTGTGGCCGAGGTAGTTGCCACGGCCTCCTCTGCTTTGTCCGAGGCAGGACGAGCCACCCCCCCCCAAGAAAGGGCTCCCCAAAGGTTTTTTTTCTTGAGGGGTGGTGGCATCTCGCGGCTCACCAGCTCGGGGCTCAAACTCAGCGCCTGGCGGCTCAAGCGGCTCAAGCGGCGTCGATGGCCGCGCGGCTCAGAGACTGCTTCCCCGCGCGGCCCGCGGTGAACTCGTGGGAGCACAAGGCCGTATCCCCAAGTGGCCAGGAGACCTACTACCATTATTCTCGTATGAAGGACTTGGAGGACGACGACACGTCCGAGACTGTCAGGATAGGCACCTTAGAGCTGAAGCACGACGACGACAGGGGGAGGGACTTTGCCCAGTCGGTCTTCACTGTCTCCTACAAGGGCTCTGTGGTCTGCGTTTCTCAAGATGCACGGGCACGCGAGACCTGACTTAGTTCAGACCATTAGGACCATTAGATACTGCGGCTGACTCGGCTGACTAGCGTGGGTATTCATGGTTCAGGCTGAAAAATTGATAACTTTAGCATGGTGGAGATTCGGGAGTTGGGTCCCCCCAGGCTGGGCGATTCAACAAGGACATGGCGGTCACCCAAGGCGCTGCCAAGGACGTCCTGGCTGCACTGGAAGAGGTCGCGGCGGTTGAGCAACTTTCAGTCCGAGATTTCGTTGCGCAGCTCCCCTCTGACTTCTCTTGGGTCTTGAGCATGCCTGGCAGTTAACCTCAGCGTTAAACGCAAAAAATGTAAGGCTGGCCTGCCTGTACAGCTTCTGCGGGCGAGGAATAAAAAAAGGTGGATCTCTGAAGGGGCTCACAAGCCTTTGAGAGGGTTTCCCTTCGGAGGCCATTGTGCACGAGAGACCATCGAGGATCCTCCCGGAATCTCAATCTCCAGGCCCCAGCGAAGCCGTGGCTGGTGGAGAGGCTGCTGCAGGGCTGGGGCCTCGAGTCCTGAGCACCAGGCCGCCCTGGGCACTACACACTGCGGTGACTTTCAGTCCCAAAATCTACACCACACGTTTTTTGGCAGTGGTGCCAACGACAGTACGAAGGACAGCGTTTTTTTTATGATGACACACAGCCTGCTGCAGTACAGATCTGATAACTTAGGCAGGTGTAGCTGAAAAGTGTCAGTCAGGATAGCACTACCGCGGGTCGCGAGCAGTTGCAATAGTTCGGATGACATGTTGCGCTTCTCCACGCGGAGCTATCACCTCACAAAGGCTTGCAGTCTGCGACCTTTGTCAGTGTCAGTGGAGGGGAAAGTCCAGAAGGGCCCGGCTCATGGCTCCATCCGAGGCAGCGAGTTCCAGGGGAAGCGCCTCAAGGCATGAGATGCTGTGCCCACTATATGGGTGGCTGTCAAAATTATGATCCCTTTTGGGGTAGCCTAAATATTAGGTGCCGTATTATAGTAGGGATCCAAAAAGGGACCATAATTTTGACAGCCACCCATATATATATATATATATATGTAATAATATATATAATAATAATTATTATTATTATTATTATGATTATTACTATGATTATTATTATTGTTATTGTTATTATTATTACTATGATTATTATTATTGTTATTGTTATTGTTATTGTTACTGTTATTGTTATTGTTATTGTTATTGTTATTGTTATTGTTATCATTTCTGTATATAACTGTTGTGTGGACACCCGCTTCATCCCCTCCCCTCCAGACCACGAAAAAATGCACACGTATGCAGCTCTTTTCATGGCTGTCTGCTGAGCGGGCGATGGTTAGCAGAATTGTTTTGGATGGGAGGAGGTGTTACACACGCTTAAAAAGCCCTTTCAACAGCTGACCAGATGTCTGAACTGAGTGGCGTCTCCAAAGCCGCATGCTCAGCTGTTTGGCACAGGCGGCGCGCGGTGAGGTGGCAGCGGAGATCCTTTGCGAGCAGGTGCCAAGTGAAACCAAAAACAGCCCCCACCCTGGAGCTTTTTGACCCCGTCATCCTCCTGCCTTCAGGTGGCCAGCCTCGAAGCCTCCTTGGGTGAGGACGCCGCGGCGCTGCTCCGCAAGCTGGGGGAGGTGGTCAAGGAGGCCCTTTAGCCCGGATTTCACCCTGAACTTTGGAAGCCAAAATCCCGAGGCTCCCAAGACCCCGGCATCCTGACAGTCAAACCCAAAAGTGTGAACACCCTGAGTTTGCAACCTTTTCAACCCTTGTGAAGGTTTGTTTCCCCATCTTCGCACTCAGATTCAGAGTCAGAGATTCCCGTAAAAAGGGTCGCAAGGTCATGCAAAGATGGTTGAGGGCAGATCCAGCTTCAAGCTGCAGCCGGTTGCACGGAGTTCCTTCAGACGGGAAACCAATTTCCAGGTTTCCAAAATCCCCGGATCGAGTGCCTGTAAAGATTGTAAAGCAGTGGTTATGGTTTCCTTGAAGGCCTCAAGGATTTGACAACACAGAATTGCCAGCCTTGTACTGTATTTCGGGAACATGGCGTGCCATTGATTCGAATCTGGTTCGGTCTGTTCCGCAAAGAACGTGGCTCAGAGAACGTGGTCGTATGTGCGGCCATGGCAGCCTTCGGCGACTTTTTCGGCCAGGTGGGCGGCACCATGAAGCTTGGCCAACCATTCCTCAGCGTGCAAGTAGCAGGAGGGGCGGCAATTCTTTGTTTTTGGTTAGTCAAGGAGCAGTAGTGGTTTCAACCCAGGTAACTCTAAGCCCTCATTATTGATCGGCACACACCGAGGAAGCCGGCCGAACAGCTGCTAGTCACGCTGCGGCGAGAGCAGGGAATCGAGGTGAAGAGCCGGAGGAGTGAGCTAAGCCGAACGCTGCTTGGGAGGATGGGATCCCCAGGTTCGATGCCTTTTCATCAAAACGCAGCTGGCCACTCCTTTGTCCGCTCAATAGGCCACAAATACGATTGCACAGGCTGACATTCGGGGTTCCAATGTGCCCCTGCCCGTTGTATCTCAAGATGTACACACGTAAAGCCTGCAAGGTGAGGTCCTCTGAGAGTTGGGGAGGGGTGTTGCGCAGAGGAGCTGTGTTTCCTTTGGGCGGATGACACTCTCCGCCACTGCCCTGGGCGATGCGATAAGCCTGCCCAGATTTCGGGAGACCTACTTGTACAGATGCTTCCTGGCGGGGTATGCATTTCGATGCGTTGTATAGTAAGACGTAAGAACTAAATACTATGCCAACAGCCAGCGGTGCAATCATGAAGCTGAGGTTACGAGAGGAATGTGCACTCAAGCGACGTGCTCACCAGTTCCGGGCTTCTGGACGATGATGAGGGCTTGGACCTCTCCCAGATTAGAGCAGCTGGGCATCAGAACCTAGTCAAAGGCTACAATAAGTGGGGCTTCTCAGTACCTGTCCACAAATCCACAGAGTTTTGCGGGTTTTCTTGAAGCTTGGTCTTCGCCCTCTTGGCCCACCCATTGTCCCTGCAGCCCCCCCAGACGTCGGCAGGTTCAGAGCGTCCCACAGCAGTTGAGCCTCTGCATCCCGGCTTGCCCGTCAGTGCTCCCAGCCTCCAGGATCGCACTGCAGGTTGAAGCTTTCAGGGATGGTGGGGGGGGGCTCCCTTTCGGGCCTCTTTGGGGGCCACGATAAGGCCTTCAGATGGGTTTGGGGTTGAGCTTCGGTACCCTGGGGTTGCCTCTCGAGACCCAGCGACCATTGCCCCATTGGTCCCATTGGTCACGGAACCCTTGTGGACTTTGGGAGTGCGCAAGCCCCTTCGGCAGCAGTTTCAACACGCATTCGGCTCAGGTTCTCAACGCCTGGGCCAGCACGGCCATGAAATCGCTAGCAGGATTGGCAGGCGTCGGCCCTTGAAATGCTTCCCGGTGTTACAGTAGATGCACAGCATCCACAGTAGCCTTCCGAGTTTTGAGCCCTCCATAAGCGCTGATCGCAATCTTAAGATCCCCGTTGACGATTCTGGCAGGTGGCCTCCCGCTGGTTCAAGCCCTCCAAGCGCTCGGCGGCGGGGGCGGCGCTGCCTTAGACATGCCGCTGAAGTGCCCTGGCTGGGGCTTTGCGGCCAAAAAGTTTGGGTTTGGGTGGGGGGGCGGGAGCGTTGACCCTGAGGCTTGGGGGTGTCGGCTCCATCGACGCCTTCCTGGAGGAGAGCGAGAAGTCTCTAGCCACTCACGTACCCTTGCTGCAAGCAGCGCCTGGCTTCTGACCGAGCCTTCAGTTGTCAGCCTTTGCCTTTTCTTTCGGCAACGGAGCCGAGGTGGGGCTCTTTTCGCTGCTTCCCGGCTGATGCTGAGAGCCTGAACTCTCCCTGAAGTGAACCACTTCCACGATTGAGGAAGTAGTCCCAGACTGAGGACCTCTGCTGTGATGTTCATCGGGTCCATCAAGGGCCTGAACAAACACTCCACAGCGCGGGAGGGAAACTACATGGGACTCTCGGACTAACTTGGTCCGGCAGAGATTGCAAGTCAAGCCGGCCAAGCCCGCTGAGGAATGGTGGCCACTGCCCTGGGCATCCTTTCCGTACTGCTATCCCCTGGATTTCACTCCGCCCATATCCGCACCTTGGACATGCAAGCCGGCCTGGAGCGGTGCAGCTGTGTGACTCTGTGGTACCACGGCATACCCCCTTTAGACGTCGGGGGGCCTTCGTTTAGCCACCACTGTAAGGCTTATAGAGCTTAAGACTCGGGAAGGCGCTCCTGAGGTTTCTTCCTAACCTTTCTAGCGGCCGGTGGAGTTGGCTATGGCATCGCCAGCACTGTGAAAATGGAGGACATGCCGCAGCTAGCTGCTTGACATTGACTGCATGTCTCAGCATGATGTTTCAGTGGATCTCGGAAAATCTCGGAGTGACTCTTTGTGTGTTCTTTTCAGTGTGAAATGGGAGCTTTCGGTGCATCAGGTTGCGGGCTTCCACTCCTTCGTGGGGCTGGCCGCGGTCTTCGCCGGCTTTGCAAGCTACTGCAACATTGCGAACCCCTACACAGCGATGAAGGCACTGGAAACGGTGGTAGGCATCGCCATCGGCTCACTCACCTTCACGGGCTCCGTGGTGGCTGCCGGGAAGCTGCACGAGGTAATCCCAGGCAAGCCCATCATCCTCCCGCAGCGGTGGCTGCTGAATGGTGGGGCCTTAGCAGGTAGCATCGTCCTGACGGCCCTTTTCCTGAATCCTGCCACCTACGCGTCGCATGCGGGGTCGGCCCTCCTGCTTGCCAACACCGCCATCTGGGGCTTCCTTGGGGTGAACATGGTGCTTCCCATCGGAGGAGCCGACATGCCAGTGGTGGTGTCGCTGCTGAACGCTTTCAGCGGCCTGGCCACAAGCGCGGCCGGCTTCATGCTTTCCAATGACCTGCTCACCATCTCTGGTGCTCTCATCGCCTCAAGTGGTACGCTGCTCTCAGACATCATGTGCCGCGGGATCAACCGCTCCATGTACAACGTCTTGCTGGGAGGCTTCGGCACAGATTCCACCAGTGCTGCGACGGCTGCAGCTGCTGGCGGCAGGGAAAATGTGAGCGAGGTTTCTGCCGTCGGTTTCGTCGGCATGCTCTTTGGGGCCAAGAAGGTGGTGATCGTTCCGGGCTACGGGCTCGCAGTTGCAAGATGCCAGCAAAAGCTGGCAGAGATTGTAGCCATGCTCAGGAAGCACAACGTCATTGTGCACTTTGCCATCCATCCTGTTGCCGGTCGTATGCCTGGCCACATGAACGTCTTGCTGGCAGAGGCTGATGTGCCGTATGACATTGTAAAGGAGATGGACGAGATCAATGCTGAGCTGCCAACATACGATGTTGGCATCGTGGTCGGGGCGAACGACATTGTCAACCCAGCCACGCAGGATCTGGGCCGGCATAGTTTTCAGGGCTTTGAGCCTTCAGAACATCCACATGTCTGTACTTGAGCACACCTTTGCATTTCTGTACTTGAGCACACACCCTTTGAATCTGACATGGCATAGGTCCTCGGGTGATTCTTGCAAATACTTCCCGGGCTCCCAAGCTACTGCTCTTAACATTTCACAAGCCGCGCTCTTTGGGCAGCATGGCTTCCTCATGACTTGTCCCTTCAAGGACGACCCAAGCAGCCCGATCTATGGCATGCCAGCTATCGAGATCTGGAAGTGCAAGCAGTGCGTGGTGCTGAAGCGATCCATGGGCACAGGGTACAGTGGTGTCGACAATCCCCTCTTCTACCTGAGCAACGTAAAGATGCAGCTTGGGCCCAGCTTGGCGATTCTTTCTTGTTAAAAAAAAAGTCTGGGAGAGAGGCGCACCCAGGCACTTTCCGTTTCTGAGGCTCTTCGGGGATGCTAAGCAGTCAATGGACAGCATCAGCAGCTGCCTGGAGGACCATTCTTCCCTACTGAGACAGACTTTGCTTTTCTGGGTCATACCAAACCAGAATGGGTAGAGGCACCCCGAAGCCGCAGGACAGCCACGACCGCTTCACGGCCGCTGCGGGCGCCAGCTCCTCAGGGGACCAGCACGATGCCACGCAAGGCGCGCCGCAGCGTTCAGAGCCTCGTAGCCAGCTGTGGTAGCCAGCTGTGTTCGAGTCCAGCGGAAAAGCCTTACCAAGACTCAAGCAATCTCAGCCGCAAGCAAGCAGACAAAATCAAGCAGCAACCGGAGCTCAGTTTGTTTTTTTTCCATACGGGTTTCTCCTCGAGAAGGCAAAATCCATTGCCCTTGAGCTGTCCTGCCCAAATAGTAGCTTCTTCCTATGGGCCTTTTTGCTAGTTGGGATGGAAGAATTGGTTTGTCGGAGCTGAACTCTAAACCCTCGACCCGGAAACCCTAAACATTGCTTGCCAGGCGTCGAGCCGGAGGTCTTCCCCGAGGCAACGCGGGTCATCGGCATCGTCCGCGAGCGACTTCCAGGACTTCGGGGGGGTTTGGGGTTTGGGGTTTAGGGTTTAGGGGGTTGGAGCGTCGGACATGGCTGGGCTCTACTAAGTCTAGGGGTCTTAATATTTCTGGATGGTTGAGAATGCGGACTCTGTGCACTTTGTTTCAGGGCAGGGTTGGGCTGTGCATTTGGTTCAAGTGCCTTCTCCTTGGGCTGTGCATGTGGTAAAAGTGCCTTCTCTGCGCTGAACTCTTGCCGTGAGGCGAAGCTCGTGTCAGCTTCGCTCCCTCAGCCGTCGTCAAGCTTCGGCGCATGGGTAGCTGGGCGGGCACGAAGCACCCCGCAGAATTCCGAAAATAATATGATAAGGGTTTCGAAAACTCCAAAAACTTCGCAGATTTCGCAACACATTTAAAACAAGCCCCAGTGGGGCAAGACGATAAACACCACCCGTAGAACAGAAAGATGCCAAAGGGACGGGCTCTGCAAACTCAAGACAGTAAGCAGGGACAAGAACCTGTGAACCCTCCAGCCTCCAGCCGAATATGATGCCAACGTCTCACTCACTGCTGTACGAAACTGAAGCAAAAGCCGAGGCTTTTCCATCCTCTTGGAAGCCGGCTCTGGCACAGCCGCTGGCTTCACCGACGAGGAGTACACCAGGCGCTCCCCCCAAGCGCCCCCCGCCCCCCCGCGGGTTCTCCCACATCCGGTTGCTTGGAGAAGTCTACTCAAAAAGAGATGAGGTTGCCGGCATGTTTCCGCACGTTTCCTTCTTTTCCCCAGGCACGGCGGCGTGCAGGTGGCGGAGTCCTCCGTGGAGGTCCTGAAGCAGGCCGACATCATCTTCAAGGTGACCGAGCCGCTCTTGGACGAAGTGCAGATGCTGCAAGGGACCCAGACGCCCCTTGGATTCACAGATGGATTTGGGTTTCTGCATTTTCGGGTTTATGGTTTACAGGGCCTCTAGGGTTCAGAGTTGACGTTTAAAGCTTACATGCCGTTTTTGTGAACATGAAGCTTCTCGTAGCCGAGTAGCCGAAGGGTTTTGGAGATCGTTCGGAGCCCTGAGGATGGTGGGCTTCTGGAACATGTACGGCACCCAGGAGCCAGGGGAAGCAAAGAAACGTCCTCTCATTTTGTGCTCTTCCCCTGGTATGCTACTGGTAGGCAAATTTTGGTTTCTCTCTGCTTATTGAATAAAGGGGCCCATGCTACCAAGAACACCGCCGCAGTGCGCCCGCTGCTTCAGGGTGAAGCGTATTTTGATGGACGGGTTTGAAGGCGAGAAAGGCAGGGAGAGAGAGAGGGAGAGATCGGGCTCCTCTCTTCGGAGAGGGGCTCTCAAGCATGGAGAAGGAGGAGGAGAAGAAGAAGAAGAAGAAGACGAAGACGAAGAAGAAGAAGAAGAAGAAGAAGACGAAGAAAAAGAAGAGGAGGAGATAGAGAGAGTGGCAGGAGCTCCTTGCGGCTCTGGCGCAGACCTCTGCCTCGGTGGTGCAGCCCGGCCGGGAATACTCGGGGGGCTATCTGGGGCTTTCAGAGATCTTCAGAGTGTATAGGGCATCCCTTCGATTCCTTATCCTTAGACCCTTCCTTTCACCGCAGGCCATGCGTGCTGGGGGCGTGCTCATGCATGCTCTGTGCTTTGCTCTGAGGAACCTGGCCCTGGTGCCCCGCGTCTCGCGAGCGCAGAAGCTGGATGCGCTGACCTCCATGGCCAACATCGCTGGACGCCCGCCTAAGAGCTGTGTGGCCATCTCGGACATGCCGTCTTTAGTAGATCCGCTAGTATATTTCCGATGCTGCTCACTCAAAACTCTAAAGCTTCAAGAAACGACCATCGAGCCTCAGGCTACAGAGCCATCCTCGATGCCTTCGCCCGCTTCCCCCGCTTTAGCCGAGCAGGGTCCACGGCCACTGGGACGCGACAGAGTGGACCCCCCTCTCGAAATGGGGACCTCATGCATGCGTAGAAGCTGAACATGCATTCTACATGAAGTAGGTATCCGCCTCTGTGATGCAACAGCTGAGCATCCGAAACAGGGCTGAAGTTAAGATTGTTCTGACAATTTACCCTTCTATTGCCAGCTTTTTGCACCTTTCCCTCATTGAACTTTTGTTCAACTTGCGGGTCTTTAAGTGCTTGGTTTTGGCATGAACAAGTCGCCCTGCTGCTGCTGCTGCTGCCGCTGCCGCTGCTGCCGCTGCTGCTGCTGCTGACTATTGCTGACTACTCAGCTGCAGAGAGGCTTTTGGCTCCGTTCCGCCGGCAAAGGTCTTCGTGATCGGTGCCTTGGCTTCCACAGTACAGTACGATCCGCAGTAGGGAAAACCCCGTATCAGTATGGAAAATGTGGCTTCAGTGTGAGAGTGAAGCAAAGGCGCCGGGGTGGCCGGGCTCAGCGCCATTGCCACAGCACACTCGCTTGGCTGCAAGGCATGCTCTAGTTTGTTCCTTCCACACCATTTTCTCCATACCTCCAAACCCTCTAGATCCTGTATAAGCCCAATAAACCCCTGTAAACACTCCCCTTGCTTTTGATCGTCTCCCCTCCATCTGCTAAATTACTTGCCGGAGAGGTCTTCGCCAACGATGTGCGCGACGCCGCCCGGGAGCAGGTGGAGTCGATGGGCGCGCAGTTCATCGCCGTCGACGCGCAGGGCATCGCAGGCCACACGCTGCCACACGCTGCCCCATAACCCGCACGCTCCCCAAAAACAGAGGAAACCCCCCAGCCCCCAGCCCCCCCCTTCCCCCGTTTGTGCAAAGAGCGCGAGAGGAATCCACTTTTTTTGGCATCGGTGCTGTGTCACCTTGAGAGGATTCCATTGTGGATGCTCATACCCCCCTTGCCTGACCAAGGCGAGGGTGCGGGAGGCTATGCCACGGCCAGGATCCCAGGGTGTCGGCGTGGACTTTTAAGAAGAAGGGAAGAGTGGGGAACCCGGGGCTTTGGCGGAGGACCGAAAAGGTACGAAGATACGATTCCCCGGGTTTGGTTGGCCGGTCCTGTTTGCGAGGTCATGGGCGAGGACTTCACCCGTGCCCAGCTGGCCACGTACGCACGGGTCATCCCCGACATGGACCAACCCCTGCACGTTTGAGGGCTTGATCGTCTCAATGTGTGTTGGGGCACGGGGGGTGTCGGAGATGAGTTGCAGCTTGGATGGGGACGAAGGACGTGATCGTGACCACGGCGATGATCCCGAACAGAGCAGCCCCCGAGCTGATCACCAGCGAGATGGTGGCACTTTTGCTGCACCAGGGGAAGGGCGCGGCAACCCTAAACATATATATATATATATATATGTATAAGTACGGCCCTGCTTTATGGGCGGGCCCAGCACTCAAGCAAACGCCCCGCAAAAATGTCGAGGCCACCATGCGCAAGGGCTCGGTGATCGTTGATCTGGCGGCACAGACCGGCGGTAACTGCGTCTACACTGAGCCGAACAAGGCGGTCGTCACACCGAACGGTGTGACAGTGGTGGGAGAAGCTTCACAGAAACGGCGGTTTCCGAACTTAGGGGTATCGGGGTACCATATTGGGGTCCTTGATACAAGGTGTTACAAGGGGATCCTCGGCAGTATGGCATAGTCCAGCTCGCATGGCCAACATGGCCCGCGCCCAGGAAACAAACTACGCCTCCCAAATGGCATCACAGTCAAGTGAGATGCTGGGAAGCAACTTCGCTGCCCTTCTCGAGGCCCAGACGTTTTGTGTGTCCAACCATTTCATTTCTGTCTTTCTCTGAACACAACAGCCCTCCCGACGGGATACCATGATCTTAACAGCAAATTCCTGCAGCTGGTGCCAGCAAATTGTTCACTCAGTCGCCTGAACGGAGCACCGACCGAACGAAGAAACAAAACGGCAACGGGGTCGACAAGCAATCGAAAAGTACTCGTAGTCCCGGAAGAGAGGAAAGCTGAGCTGCCACAGCCAGGTCCTCGGATCCGCCGAGAACTTCGGTGGGGAGCACTGGGACGACCCGGTGGTGAAGCCGGCTATCGTGGCGCGAGGGGGCGCCGTCGTTTGGGACCCCAACCCGCCAAGGCTGAGCGGACACCCGAACAGACTCAAAGACCTCAAAAGGCCTGACAATGGCTGCAACTACAGGGTCAGCTGGAATGCTTCTTCCAGCTTGGGAAATGTCAAGCTGAGTCAGAGTGTAGTTTTTTCTGGTTGGATCCTCTCCAGGCCCCCGGCGCCCCCGGTGGGGAGCGCCGTGGAGGCCAACGTCGGCGGCTTCGGCGGCGCGTCGCCGGTGCCTCCCCCGGTCCCCGCAGAAGCCAATGCCGTGGTGGCTTGGATCCAGGCCCCACGGGTTGAAGATGATTCAAACATTTTTTCCATTTTTTCTCGCATGTCGAAGTGAAGTGGGGGGGGGGGGGGGGGTTTATTTCCCTGAGAGGGGGCCGTGACTCAGAAAGGGTTTGTTGACGTGAAAGGCCTTCTGCCCTCCGTGGTGCCATGTACCATGTGCCTCCGATTCCCCAAGAGATCCCGGGCATCCCAAGGAGCACAAGGACGAGTTGGCCCTGGGCGTCGGGGGGGCTGTCGTGCTTGGCCTCGGCCTGGCAGTTGACATCCCAGAGGCCCCGGGGGATGCACTGATGGGTTTGGGGGGCGTCTCGTATTCAAAGAAGCATCCTTAGGGATGTTGATGGTTTTGGGTACATTCTCTGGTTTTTTCGAGTGGATGTTTGTGTTTCAGCCGTCCGCAGTCTACGAGTACACTGGTGGGTTGTATCGGGGGAAGGCCTGTGGCCTGCCGTTAAACCCCCAAAGAACGCAACAAAAACGAAAGGCAGAGGTCACGCACTTGGGCTACTTTGTCCTCTCGTGCTTGATCGGAGCCCTGGATGAAATCTGGGTGCCTCCAATTTCCCTAAAAATGATAAGCGTGCCATCCCAGGCCCCAAATGCTGCGAATGCCGAGAAGCGCGCTTGAGGTAATCCTTATAAGGGCTTTTTGGCCTGGTTGATTCTGGCCCGCTCTGCTGGTTTCTTGGGTTGCCTTGGGTATGGAGGCCCCCGATAGGAGCTTCAGCCAGTGTAGGTTCAGCTTCAGTGGAGAGACCGCGGCATTCTGAGGAAACTTCACAGTGGCCGGCGTGACCCCGGCGCTGCACACTCCGCTCATCAGCGCGCCCTGGCAGCATAGCCAGAGCAGAATCAGGGAGCCAAGCAGTTCTAGAGCTTCTAGGCCTTAGGGAGTCCACTGCCAAAGGCATGACCAGTTTCAGGGTGTCGGATCTCCTGATGGTTTGAACGATTCTTAGACTTGTCTGCTTCCATCTCCCCTTGCCTTCTTTTGTGCAGGTGACCAACGCCATCAGCGGCATCATCGTCGTCGGGGGCATGCTGCAGCTCAGTGGTCCCGTGCTCTCTGCGCGGGTGGCCTGCGCGCTGGCAGCTGTGTTCCTCTCCAGCGTGAACATCGTGGGTGGCTTTGCCGTCACGGCCCGAATGCTGGACATGTTTCGCGAGGATGCCAACCCCAAGAAGGCTCTGGCAGAGAGGTCCTGATGAGGACTTCTGAAGGCAAGACTCGGCAAGACGCAGCATGCAAATATTATCCCGCCGTCCCACCGGAAGATTTCTGCTTCTCTGCCCCATTCACACTCGGGACCCGGAGCAAAAGCCCTAGGCAGAGAGCGAAGTTTAGCAGTAGTCTGTAAGTAGCCCATAGATAATGGAGTCTTTTTTTCTGCCCTTGCTCCTGGTAAGCCCATGTCCCCCAACAGAATTTGGAGGCCGAGGATGTCCACGCCCCTGCGGGAAGTGGCGTGGCCATGGGGTCGAGCACCGCAAGCTGCTCATGCTGCACTCAATATGCAGGGCTGCTTGAACATGAGGGTATAGTCAATGTTCCGGGAATCTCCCAACTAATCCAGTCAAGGTGTCGCCTCTTGGAGAAGGAAACCCGCCTTCATTTGAGGTCGGAGGGGGTTCCTTGAGTCTTCCACCGCGGCGCTCGAAAGCGAGCGCGGAAAAAGGGCCGCGGCCGCGGGAGCTGCTCACAAAATGCCTGCTGACCAACAGAGGCAGAGCAAAGTTCCGATCATCCGCTGATGTTTCGGCCATTTTCGCTCCTCCCGTCTCCTTTGCCTTAAGGTACACAATGACCTCAAGAAACATGCATTGCACAACAGGAGACGCGCTCGATGGAGAATTGCTTGTGTTATCTGGGTTTTTCGCTGGAATCTCATTAGCAGTATCTCAGTATGTCCATTTCATTCTATTGCATGGCTGTGGGTTCCAGTGCGACCCCTTGTCAGAGCTGAGTGCCTATGCTTTTGGCTTCAGGCGCCTCGTTTCAGCTCACCTGCGGTACAAACGGTACCTGTTAATGACATGCGAACGCAGCGGGACTTGACGGCGGCTCAAATTCAAAATCCGAGAAGAGTTGAGATGTCAACATCGAACAAAGCCGCCGCAACGAGTCCCGGGGCGTTCCTCGGAGCAGTGGCTCCGGGCTATGGGGGCGCCCAAGCCCTCGGACCATGGGCAAGTTAGAGAAAAGCCGCAAGCGAAGCAGTGTGGGGAGCCATGGGCGCTGGGAGGTAACCTGTAATATCCTGTAATGTGCAAAACCTCCTAGCAGTCCTAGCATCGACGTGCCATCAGGCAGGTCGTCAATCCGGCGGAGGCTGCCCGACATGTTTGGACATCGCCAATGCCGAGCCATGAGTGCTTAGTAGGCCCAGGCTCAGCAGATCCTCTTGGCAGTGTCACCTCACTAGTACTGGAGTTTGCGGATGCAGCTTAATGTTTTACAACGAAGCTGCGCCTCATGTGCCAGGTGCTCTGGTGCATTTGCTTCTTGCAGTGGCTGCTCTCGCGGAGAAGCTGGTGCAGGCCTTCCAGAGGGAGCCTGCGGCAAGAAATGCGCACTAAAAACCATGTTACTGTAACTATTCGAAAGAGCTCGCAAACCGATAATATCCCTTTCGTTGTTGTGACACAGACTTGTGTGTGTAGGTAGGGACAACGCTACATGCATGGATTTCAGTTATCCGTATGCCGATTTGGCTCAGACTACATCTGCGAAGTTGGATTTACACATATGCTCTTCTGCTTTCGACTGATTATCCTTCTTGTTCTTCGTGTGCACACGATCGTTGGGAGCATACGATGGCGCTCTTGGGATTTCTACGGATCACGAAATATGATATCCGGAAGTCGGTTCGTTGCGAACCTCATGGACACCATGGACACCGTCGGGTGAAGGGGTTGTCTTCCGGCACTTGAGTGGAAGCAGGTAGAACGAACACGTGCGCGAGCGCCTCGGCGTTTCCTACTCGTTTGTTGTCAAGGCATGTTAAATCTGTAAGACTGTAAGCCCTAATTCTGATTCTTGTTCCAGATCCTAATCTAATGCTCCGGTGCTCTAACTCGGCCTGGAGGCCCACGGGGAGGCACCAGATATGACAGATGAGGTGCCGGCCTAAGAATTGAGTCAGCCGGCGCTCCTTGAGACGCACGTTAAGATGCAGGGCTGCACGCCACATCTAGTGGAGCCGATGGAAGCTCAGCAACGATCGCAGACCCAGGAATGCCTCAGATTTGTTTGTAGGACATGCTGATCCAAGAGTTTTTTTTCCGTGTATAGCGGCATAGCCGCAGTGAGAATATTTCATGTTTGCTTTCGTGCCGTGCTGGCTTGGCATGACCGAGGCGTCTGCAGTTGCAGGTGCAATTCCAGACGTCTGCCAGTGCATTGACGAGGCTTCATTCAAGTCGGTGTAAAATCACCTAGATCTTTCGCTCATTCTTACGCTAGCACCGCACTGTGGCCCCTGTGATGCCGTGGTCTGAAGATGGGTTCAGGGGAGCCTTGGAACATTTTGGGCAATATGGGTTCCGCGATTTCAGACCTTGACGTCCGCATCTGAGATTCCCTCGATCAATTCTCAAGCTCCCACGCGAGGTCGTGCCGAAGCTGGTGGAAAGCTCGCCGGGCGGCCTGGCGCCGTTGCTGCGCAGCTGCGGCGCGCTGGCAGTGCTGGCAGCGCTCGGCGTGTGCTTTAGGGAGCCGTCGAGCGAAACTCCCCAACATCCCCTTCGGATCTTTTCTCAGGAGACTCAAAAGCGTCAAACTACTCCAGACTCGAGAGTCCCGGAAGTTGCGGCTCCCCCGCAACTCAGCTCAACCCAGCTATAGTTTCGATGCCGTCGATGCCAGGCATCCGGAGAGGCGGCCTTCTCCACCTGCACTGGGGCCCTGCGGAACCAGGCGCAGGGGGACATTGATGGGCATTTTTCGGAACTCAGGGTCCGGCTTTGTGGAAGCGCCCCGCGTTTTTTTATGTCTTTTCCCACCGTTTCTCTCTGTCGCAAAAAGAGGCGGGACTGGGTGAGTCCTGAGCCCAGGTCGGCACGCTACGCCCGGACTTGCTGGCCCTGTTGCGAGGCGGGGAGGACTTGCTGAAGACTTTGAGACTTTACCCTGACTCATCACCGGAGGCAATTTGAGGAGACTATGGAGGCAGGACTGTGCCAATTTTCCGGTTCACGCTCCTCTGATCCTCTTCTGCAGGTATCCCCTTGCCGAGGACAGCACTTGGGCCTCGCAAGCACAGGCTGAGCTTTCGTCTGCGCGTGGCAGCTTGAGTTTCCCAGAGCTTCCCAGAGCGCAGTGTGTCTTAAGAGGTGCGCCTGCGCACTTTGCTCGGCACACTCTTCGGCCGTGGTCTCATCGAGGCGAGCGGCTATCGGCCCCTTTTCGCGAGGTGTCACACGTCACCACATTCATGACATGCCATGCCTGGGCTCTCGCCATAAACTGCCGAAGTTCTGCCGAAGTGCCAGCATCTCACCACCAGATGACATCTGCAAAAGTGCCAGCACGCAGATCTCGCTCCTAGATGCCTTCTCACATGCAGGCATCATTACTTGCCAGATCATTGCTTGCCAGGTCTCTAAAAACAACTGCCTGGCACTGGCCCAAAGCGCGGGAGTCAGGCCCTGCTGCCTCTCTGATCTGTGAGACGTACTTCATTCAGAAGGACTAGTATAGTCCTCCATCCATGTATTACTGGATAAAAATATCCATGCGATGTGGCAGGGCATCTTTGGACTTCATCGTGGTGCAGCTTCTTGCCTTGGCCCAGGCTGCAGTAGTCACAGAAGGCATTGCCCGGGGCTTTGTAGCGATGAGTGGAAGCTCTCGGTCTTGTGAGAGTCGAAAGAAGGTGACGTTCGGTGGCCATTGAGCGTAGGCGGCGTAGGGGTTGATGGTTTATAGGGGTCCAACGGGCTCATGCTCTGAGGGTTTGCTGGTTTTGAACCTGCGCTTCGGCAGATCCTCTCAGGTCTACAGGCTTGCGCACACCAAGCCCACTCCGAAGAGGCAGAGTGGACCGGCAGTAGGAGCCGAATCTACTGGGGAGACTGCGTCGCAACAGCTGACTGCCCCGAGCCTTGAATCCCGCGCCTCCCGAACTCGAAGCCCCTTATCTCCAGACCTAGACCCGACGCCCTTGCAGCAGCCACTGTCAGGCGCAAGCGAAAGCGCCGCGCTGAGCCAGACGAGCTGGAAGAGGTGCACTTGGACTCTCTGCGACGCTGTACGTATAGAGATCCCATTCAGAGCGAATTGAAAGGAGATCGACGCCTTGACTGCTCCAACCTCCGAGGACTCGGTCGTACAGTTCAGTTGGTTCAGTGTTGCGGCTTTCCTGCGCTTGAGTGGCTCACAGCGCAGCTGTCGCAGGACCTTATGTTGGATGAGGTGCCGCGATCCAGATCTTATCTGATTGAAGCCCGTATAAGACTCATGGATCCTCAGAACCCCAATCCTGATCCAATCCCTGGAAGGCCTTGGAAGTTCTTCAGTCCGTGGATCCGGGCAGCATGTGCCCCCCCAAAGTTGCGAAACGTCCCCTTTCTCGCCTGCCGGACTCGGCGGACACGCGCTCGCCATGTGGCAACCCCCAAAAACGCTGAGGTATTGGTGCACGTGTCGTACATCTGGTCTCCACTACTGCCCAGTCATTCAAAAGCATTCTTCGGGGGCAGCAAGTGCTAGATCTGGAGACGGCGCGGTTGTGCCGTCGCTGACACTGTGAGAATCTGAGCCATCCTGTGTTCGGAATTCGGTGCGGGATGAGAAGAAAGTTGACAAATCACTCCACTCTGAAACGCGCGTGTGGAGCTGAACTCATGCACTACCAGCTGATGCACCGACACTTCTTGTTCTGCGTTGGCGTTGGCAGCCGTCGTTTCCGATTTCTTTATCGCGATGTCTATTGAGTCGACGGGGACAAGCTGCCTTGCTATGATTGAAGTTCAAGAAACACAAGTGCTAGATCTGGAGACGGCGCTGTTGTGCCGTCGCTGACACTGTGAGAATCTGAGCCATCCTGTGTTCGGAATTCGGTGCTGGATGAGAAGAAAGTTGACAAATCACTCCACTCTGAAACACGCGTGTGGAGCTGAACTCATGCACTTACCAGATGCACCGACACTTCTTGTTCTGCGTTGGCGTTGGCAGCCGTCGTTTCTTTGTCGCGATGTCTGTTGACGGGGACAAGCTGCCTTACTATGATGAAGTTCAAGAAACACAAGTGCTAGATCTGGAGACGGCGCGGTTGTGCCGTCGCTGACACTGTGAGAATCTGAGCCATCCTGTGTTCGGAATTCGGTGCTGGATCAGAAGAAAGTTGACAAATCACTCCACTCTGAAAAGCGCGTGTGGAGCTGAACTCATGCACTACTTGTACCAGCTGATGCACCGACACTTCTTGTTCTGCGTTGGCGTTGGCAGCCGTCGTTTCTTTGTCGCGCTGTCTATTGAGTCGACGGGCACAAGCTGCCTTGCTATGATGAAGTTCAAGAAACACAAGTGCTAGATCTGGAGACGGCGCTGTTGTGCCGTCGCTGACACTGTGAGAATCTGAGCCATCCTGTGTTCGGAATTCGGTGCTGGATGAGAAGAAAGTTGACAAATCACTCCACTCTGAAAAGCGCGTGTGGAGCTGAACTCATGCACTACCAGCTGATGCACCGACACTTCTTGTTCTGCGTTGGCGTTGGCAGCCGTCGTTTCTTTGTCGCGCTGTCTATTGAGTCGACGGGCACAAGCTGCCCTGCTATGATGAAGTTCAAGAAACACAAGTGCTAGATCTGGAGACGGCGCTGTTGTGCCGTCGCTGACACTGTGAGAATCTGAGCCATCCTGTGTTCGGAATTCGGTGCTGGATGAGAAGAAAGTTGACAAATCACTCCACTCTGAAACGCGCGTGTGGAGCTGAACTCATGCACTACCAGCTGATGCACCGACACTTCTTGTTCTGCGTTGGCGTTGGCAGCCGTCGTTTCTTTGTCGCGATGTCTGTTGACGGGGACAAGCTGCCTTACTATGATGAAGTTCAAGAAACACAAGTGCTAGATCTGGAGACGGCGCTGTTGTGCCGTCGCTGACACTGTGAGAATCTGAGCCATCCTGTGTTCGGAATTCGGTGCTGGATGAACAGAAAGTTGACAAATCACTCCACTCTGAAACGCGCGTGTGGAGCTGAACTCATGCACTACCAGCTGATGCACCGACACTTCTTGTTCTGCGTTGGCGTTGGCAGCCGTCGTTTCTTTGTCGCGATGTCTATTGAGTCGACGGGGACAAGCTGCCTTGCTATGATGAAGTTCAAGAAACACAAGTGCTAGATCTGGAGACGGCGCTGTTGTGCCGTCGCTGACACTGTGAGAATCTGAGCCATCCTGTGTTCGGAATTCGGTGCTGGATGAGAAGAAAGTTGACAAATCACTCCACTCTGAAAAGCGCGTGTGGAGCTGAACTCATGCACTACCAGCTGATGCACCGATACTTCTTGTTCTGCGTTGGCGTTGGCAGCCGTCGTTTCTTTGTCGCGCTGTCTATTGAGTCGACGGGGACAAGCTGCCCTGCTATGATGAAGTTCAAGAAACACAAGTGCTAGATCTGGAGACGGCGCTGTTGTGCCGTCGCTGACACTGTGAGAATCTGAGCCATCCTGTGTTCGGAATTCGGTGCGGGATGAGAAGAAAGTTGACAAATCACTCCACTCTGAAACGCGCGTGTGGAGCTGAACTCATGCACTACCAGCTGATGCACCGACACTTCTTGTTCTGCGTTGGCGTTGGCAGCCGTCGTTTCTGATTTCTTTGTCGCGATGTCTGTTGACGGGGACAAGCTGCCTTGCTATGATGAAGTTCAAGAAACACAAGTGCTACTTAGAGACTTAGTTTCAGGTTCAGGTGTAGTTTGGTGCCAATGGGTGTTGTTCGGTGTTTGAGTTCAGGTTCGACGTCTGCAGCTCCGCAAGTCTCTGTAAAGTCATGTGGGTTCAGGTTGATGTGCTTGCGAGGTACCATTGCGTGGGCATGCTGCTGCTGACCCTGTCCGCCTGGGCAGTGGACTTGCCTCAGCTCTCAGACTTCCTTTCTTTAAAGCTCATGTCGGGTCCCCCGTGCCTCCGGGCTCCAAGGAGCGGGCAAGTCCTGAGATCGCCCAAACCCCCCCAAGCCGGCAGAGGCGCGGCGGCACGAGGCTCTCCTGGAGTGAGCAGCTTCTACCGGACCCCGCCTTTCTTTGGGGGGGGTTGGGGGGGTTGGGGGGGAGGAAGAGAATACCTTGCAGACCCGCAAGCTTCATGAAGCTGGGATCGGGTTTCATCGCAGTCCACCTCTGGGCTTCCTGCAGTTCTCAAGGGCCTTGCTACGTTTTGGGGGCACTCACGTGGGGGGTTTAGGGCCAAGCTCCATCGCAGGAGGAGGTCGCAGCTGAGCTGGACGAAGATGTCCGGCTGAAGGTCCTAAGCCGCGGCCCCCGGTATTCATCCTTCGCCCTTTAAATTTGGGTCCTTCTCAACCTGGGCGCTCCGTTCCAAGAGCAGGTGAACCTGTCACCCGAGCCGTTTGTAGCTGAGACACATGAATAGCGCCCGCCCTCTGTGAGCAGACTTCAAAGCCCATGCCGGAGTACGAGCTGCTGTACTGGCCCGTGCTCCCCTGATCCCTTGAGGAGTTGCACGTTCAATGAGTTGCGGTGCCTTGGACATGTCCAAGTAGAGAGAGAAGCACTGAGGTGAGTGGCCTGGCTGAGCCGATCCGCCTCAGCTTCGTTTTGGCGGGGATCTCCTTCAAGGACACAACGCCCTTGACAGATCCCCAATTCAACGACCGAAAGCTGGCACTCCACCCCTACGCGCCGGATGCGGGGGGACTGCCGATCCTGGTCTTCGATGGCAAGGTGTGCTGCCAAAGCCGAGCCATCCTCCGCTACGTGGGACGCATCGCGCAGCACGACGGCGCATTCCTCTACCCCACAGAGGATCCGATCAGGGTCCACAACAGGAAGGGGGAAGATGGGGGAAGCACGCGGTTTTTTAGCGGAGATCTACAAGCTTTCACTTAAACTTACCGGGATCTTATATGAAAAAGGCCGCCCCGTTCACTCGCTTGGCAGAGGACCTTTCGGAGCAGATGGCGTGCGACGAGCTCATTGACTTGAGCGAGGACCTGCGCAGGCCCATGAGTGCCACGGTCACCACCCAGTACAAGGACCAAGCAGAGAAGGAGGCGGCGAGGCTTGCCCTGATGGCCCCCGACGGAGAGTGCACAAAGTTCTTAAAGGTCCTGGACAAGAAGTTCGGGGAAGAATTTCCCAGCAAGCTCACGATCGGAAACATCTACGCGTGGTCTATCATCACCATGTTCCGCCAGCCAACCTTCATTCCGGAAATTCCGGCAGATGCTTTAGCTCCCTACGAGAACCTCACAAAGCTCCACCAGTGGATGTCGAATATTCCCGCCATCAAGGCTTACTACGAGTCCGCGCAGGGTCGCGACAACTACAAGCCCCTCTGAGATGTAAGAGATTTGTAAGAGCTTGTGAGCTCGCCAAAGTGCGAGTGTCCGGGATCGATTCGAGGACGCAAGGGCGCACACCGTAGAAAGAATGGAGCCACGCTGCACGGAGTATCATCCGCATGAGCCACTCCGATTGAGGCCGTGGCTTTCTGGTGGTTGCGCGGTTCCTGTCGGAGCCCGGGCACCCAGAGATCCCTTCCCTCAAAATAGACATCCCCCCCCAGAATCCCTGTGAAATACTCTAATCCTCAGTTTAGCCCACCCACTCAAAAAAGGGCACCCCCTATAGTTGTCTTCTGAACGTGCTGAGAGGCTGAGAGGTGAGTGTTGGGGGGGGGGGGGGGCACGTTGAGGTATGGGCTCCCAGCGGATCTCGATCGTGAGGAGGCGCGAACAAATCCTTGAACCCTTCAAGGTGTACGCGCCCTCAGTACCCAAAACTTAACTCCATAAACACCTATGAACCCTTGTTGTTAGGTGGATACCTCCACCCTGCCCGACTTCACGGCGGAGGGGGGAGACGAGGTCCTTCGCCCATGTTGCCGAGCTTAAGATAAGCGAACTAAAGTTTAAAAAAGCCATGCAAGCCAGCCAAGCTCCCCGAATGTCCCGCTAAGAGCCGGCTTCCTTCCCCGAGGATGTGGGCGCTGTTGCGGCCCTCGCGCTCTGCCATGGGGCTCGTGCTGTTTGCATAGCGGAGGCCGCCTGGCAGTCGAAAGTCCTGGACCCCTGTAACCTTTTTAGAAGCCCCGAAGGTGGGAACAAGCCCAAAAAGCGCACACTACATTCAGCGATGTTAAGCCCATTGAGCTGGACGCTCTGCAAACCCAGCCAATTTCCTTCAAGCGCCTCTTTGGAGGCCGCTGTGCAAGGCCTCGAAGAATCGAAGGAGCAGGAGAGCCGGGGTGCACCGGGGCGCATCGGATTGCATGGGGGGGCAGTTGGCAGAGGGTGTGTGTCTATATGTTTTTCTCACCGCGGAACCCACAAAAGAAGCCTTAAAGCCAATTCCAAGAATTCCAAGCACCACGTTAGCATCATCATGCAGTCCGAGCATTCTTCGTGCCGGAACTCTGGAGGCCCTCTGCCTCCAGCGTACGGCGGAGCTGCGGGGACTCCTCCTGCGGTGCGCGGTGCTGTGATTAGTGATGTGCTAGTTAGAGTGCATTCCCAGATCTGAATGAAGACGTTGACGTTTGTCCTGCAAGACCTCCGATTACACAGATCCTTGCAACGCGTGGTCGAACTTGAGCTTGCACCATCTGCAACCAAAGCTTGTAGATCACCGTACACCTGTTCACTATACCGTTATATTCAAAGTAAGATGCGTTTACAGATGCGCTGGCAAGTGGATCCGGGAGCTGCGAGCGCATACTTGGAAGGTCGCTGGCCGTGAACCATCCTGCCACGTTCTTCCGCTCGCTATGCTTGACTTTGGGCCTGTCGCCCATTTTTTGAACTAGCATCTTCGCGCGTGCCCAACAACTTCTGAAGCCCTTCTGGAGCATCTGGAGCGTTAAGGCGTCAAAGGCGCGGCACCTAAAGCTCAAGCCTTGCTGTCCGACAAGGACGGGTGTTTCCGATCCCTAACATCATCTTGCCGCCCTCATATTCCCAACGCCTCACTTGCAAAATTGTCAATTTCTTCGTCCAGGAGTTTGCAGGCAGTTTGGCAATCACCGTTCTCAGTGGCAGTGCAGATGCTGCTCAGCTGCACTGCTGCACCAGGGTTGGAGCTGAGGGCACCCCGCAATGCCCCGCAGCCTCCCGCCTTCTGCAGACGTGGCAGGCGTTGCAAGTCCGGCGGGACCTGCGGAACGACGATGAGGATGAGGGCATGGAGGCATGGAGCGCCCATTGGAGTTCTTGAAAGGCGGCTCCCCAGTGAGACGCAAACTTAGCTCCAGGCACCAGGAGAGGCCTGCGCGGCACTTTGCGAGTCAGCGGTGCAGCACATCAGCAAGCGTTTCCTGGCAGGCCTGGTCACTAGACAGCGATCCACGGGATGTGTTGCCGTTGCTGTTGTTGTTATTGTTGTTGCTGCCGTATTCAGGTGATGCAGAAGACAGCGTCGTCACGAAAGCGTGGACACTGCTGGACCGCCTTTGTAAAGAAAGCTTGTCGTTGGTCTTCTGTTGGCCGGGATGGTTGCCATGCCGAACGGACAGCCTGGACGAAAGATGGGCCCAGTCCGCAGTTGCGTTAAATTTAATGTTGCAGACAATGACATGCAAACAACGTTTTGTTGCGGAACCGCTGCGCCAGACCACTGGATGCAGTACAGGGTCGAAACAGACTGGTGTTAAATTCGCTCTCTTGGTTTGTTGGACGCGGGCTGGTGGGAGGTAGGGGGTCACCTGGGCTGTCAGACGTTCATTCGACTCGCGGCTCAACTGTGAAGCGTCGTTTCCTGGCGAGGACAGCATCTGCCGCTTTGCCAAGACTCACGCGCCTTGCCCTCGGCTCCTTCCCATTGAACAACTGAACGCCAATGGCAGTGGTGCTCCTGAAGAGTGGGAGATTTCTACTCTAGCAGCTTCTAGCAGTGTGTGGCACACAGTGACCAGGGTCAAGTGCAAATGAGGTCGACGCCCCTGGTCCAGTTGGTCCTTCCTCAAGCTGGTGCCCGACTGAAAGCTGCCAGCGGCAGGTGCACTTGCACACCAATCTCGGCGGATTCATGACCATGACCAGATGCCATTTATGGCATATACGCTTTACAAGCCCCCCTCCCAACTTTGCTGGCTCGTAGGTTGACGGGCTCTGGAGCGAAGGTGGCCATTGCCTGCTGCCAATGCGCTCGGGCCTCGCCTGATGCTTCTTCCGTCGACAACCACCGCCGTAAGCCTGTAAGCTCTGAGGTCGACACGGTGGTGAACTCCCTTGGCCGCAATATTATTGAGAAGCTGAACGACCTCGTGCCACCACTCTTGGATCTGGCGATGATGCGGCGAGTGCGGGGCCTGGCGCTCTAAACCGAACTCCGGTGATTTTCAAGCTCACAAGTTTGGGCAGTTGTGCCTTGGGCCCTTGGGTCACTTGGGTCATATCCCTCAGGCGAGCAATGCCGACACGACTGCTCTCCTGGACCGCGGGCTTTGCTTCACAGGGGCGCCGCCTGCACTCTGCTCCACATTGGCCGAGATGCTAAAGCTTCCGGCCTCTAACGCGGCCGTTCCCAAAGACCAATTGAATTAACCATCCCAACCCCCTCGAGGATCCACGAATCAGGCATTTAAGAAACCTTCGTGGCACCTCAACATCTTCTCTCAAATGCCAGTGATGGCCATGGGGTGGTCAAGAGTCGTGGGGCTGCAAGCGATCGAACTTGCCAGAAACCCCCGTTTTCTTTTTCAGCCTCGTCCCGAGATCATGATCTGTGTTTCAGGGGTGTCACCAGCCCTAGATGTACTGCTATAGGTATGAGTATGAGTATAGGAGTGAATATTGGGTGATAAATCGCAGGACCAGCACATCCTGGGAGCCCTCGGCTCCCTGGCCCGCCGCGTGGGGAGCTTCCTCTCGCCCTTCCTCGGCCGCTTCCTCGAGGCGAGATGCTGAGGAAATCAGGCTGTTTGGCTGTTTCCGCAGTTTCCGAGTCATCCGTTCCACGGTTTCCGATTCAGCCGTCCTGGTTTCTGGTTCAGTCGTTCTGGTTCCGATTCAGATCTGGTTTACGATTCAGCTGCCCTGGTTTCCGATTCAGCCGCTCTGGTTTCCGATTCTTCCGTCGACCTACGCAACGAAAGCTTCGCAGGTCACTTGCAGCGGGCCCGCAGCGCGCGTGGCCGCGCTGCAGGACGCAGAATTGCAGTCCAAGGGTTCAGATCTTTCGGTTGCTGTCTCGTGCCCTGGGGCCTACGTTATGGGGTGTGGGATATGAAGGATGATCTTTTTCGATAGTTTTTCGATGATGGGTCGAACGCCCCGAGCACAAAGAAAGCAGTCGAGGACCTGGCGCGCGAGTTGGTGGCGGGCGTTCCGCACCGGCTGCTCCTGATGTCAGCCGGGGGCCTCGATGGGACTGATGGGACTCGACAGGGGCATCGGACTCTCTTTAGTTTTGCTTTAGAAAAGTCTTGATTATTAAGTAGAGTGCCTCCAAGCGCAGGTGCAAGAGGGCACCGTGAAGCCTTTCGATGGCACGGAGGAGTCCCTGACTGCACTGGATGAGAAGCTGCTCCACATGCAGAGGTCGGGGTAGAAGAGCTCTCACCCGGCCACACTTTTCTCCCAGGGAGTCCCCAGTCCAGGGTTCGGCGGGGAGAGGCGGGGGAGGGGTTGGCAAAAGAGTCCGTGCACCGACAGGTTGGCGATCGTGGCAGCCCTCTTGCGTGTGATGGCGCTGTTCATCTGTTTGCTTGCCAGGCTTGCAAGTTTCCACATCTGGATCCTGTCCAAGGCTCGCCTGTCTCAGTAGAGCTCACATCGGCGCGAGGATCCAGAACAATCCAAACTCGAAAAGCCCTGTAGACCGGATGGAGATCAGGCCTCTCCGGAGTTCGTCGCGGGCACCTGCGACGCGGTCATGGCTTCCCTTCTGCGGCCGGGGCCCACACCGGGGCCACATTAGCCCACACACTCTACAGAGTACTATAGAATATACTCGATAGGCAGGTTGGTGAACCTGAGATGAGCTTCCCGGCTTCTCGAAGTCGCACCGCCCAAAGCCCTGTGAGCTCTTCGCCGTTTTTTCGGCAGTTTGGGCCCGAGGCTCCTTGCCATCTCCAGCGACGCTGTCAGCGCTTTCTTGCAAGCGGGGATGGAGCTGGACGCCACTCCATCCAGGTGCCCCCTCGTAATCCGCGTAATCCATTTTGCCGCCGAAGAGCCACGGAGACCAAGTTTACGCAGCTGCTGGGAGAACACCCGCACATAATTCACATAACCCCCCCGAGACATTTTTCAGCTCTTTCAGAGATTATAAGAGCTCCCCAGTTCCACCCAGGGCCTTGCGACGCGGCAACGACCCGGCCTTGGTAGACGAAGCTGTCGAGGCCCATGAATGAAATGAGAGGTAGCTTGCTTCTCAGAACCGGAAAAGCTATCTGAGATTATTAAGTTGATTGGAGATGAATTGAGCATGTAGTTAGTAGAGCAGAATGGAGCAGAGGATGGGTGGAGGGAAAGTGTCGCATTAAGAAAAGAGTGGGTGCATGTGAGCACAGACGGAGAGCTGCCAGTGAACCTCTCCGCGGGTACTCGTAGTGCACACATCGGCGCGCCTCTCTCAGGAGCTGAGCTGGGAGCAGTTCGGCAGCCAGCCTTCAATGTGGCAGCTACATCACCTGGCAGGGCACCTACGCCCTACACCTCTCCGTCTCCCAGCGTCCCCCCTCTCCCCCCAAACCCCTTGAACCTGCGGTATAAACCCTAGTGACCTAGTGGGGACGTGTAGCTTGTGCATATGCTCGTGGTGAAGCTTTGTGAAATCTCAGCCGGCTGTCTCCGATGTCTCGAACCTCTTCGAGGCCGCGGCGGCCTTCGCGCAGTTTGCTTTGAGGCTGGAGGAGGAGGCGCAGACAGAATATTATGCAGAGTCAATGCAGAGTATGATCAGATTGAATTAATGCAGATTTAATGCGGATTATTTGAACGTTTCGAGCCAATTAGCAAGTTAGACCGAATGGCCTCGTTGGCTTCGGGAGTGGGGAGGGATCTCTTGAGGTGCTGGTGTGCGGCTTGTAGCTTTGCTTTGGCGGAGCACTTAAGCGTATCCTTGTTCTATACATGGCTCTGTTGCCACTGCAGGAGTTGAAGACTCGCTTCGTCAAGGCACTGATTGGGGAGATGGAAGGGGTTACCCGGGTTGTGCGCAGCTTATCCTAAATATCCCCAGGCCCGTGCACAACATCTACCGTATACCTCTGCCCTTAGAGCCTTCGAGCCCTGGTTTACAGAACTTCCTGGGAGGTTCTGGAGTGGGCCCGCGGAAAGCAGCCGAAGCTGCTCGAGCAACAAAGGCCGTGGATCTTGCAGAGGGGTCGGGGAAGGGCCCTTGAACACCGCGCCACTTGCTGTGCAGAAGCAGCTCCTGACAGGAAGCACTCTCGGGACAAACGGATGCGGGGATGCGCATTGGGGTAGCCGCACTAGTGCATTCCATCGACATTGCGTTTGCCGGAGTGGAGATCCCGAATTTCGCCCGCGTGGAAGGTTTGTCTACTCCGAGGCTTCGGGAGCTTGGGGGCTCTTCAGGGGCCGAGGTCGCACTTTTCAGTTTCCGAACGGGAGGGTCCCCAAACAGGCGTGAAACTGGGGGAACCTGAAGACTTCAACTTGCATCAATGTCAGGGGAAGGGGTGGGGGAGGTATGGGAAGGGGATTTTCTTACCCGCTTAGGCCTGATTGTGGCATTTTGACCGGCCTGAAAATCTGGGAGGTATTTCTTGGCCTGTGTGTGCGCAAACTAAATTTGTGCATGGGAGATTTGGGAGGCCAGCTAGCAGTGTGAGAAACAGCTGCGGTCATCAACCGATTGAAGAACGAGTGTCGCCACCAACCTGCACGGAAGCTTACAAACTCAAAACTCTTCGAAAATTTGGGCGAAGAACCAAAACCCGCACCGCGATGGGTCTGAAAGTTCCGTAGACGCTGCTTGCGCCGCTGGAGCACCTTCGTGTGTCTCGACTTGGTAGCCGCAGCCTCCAGTTTGTGACCCCTCGCTATCTGGGGGTTTACGACAATTGGGGACATCTAAAATAGACCCCCGAATCGTACCCCTCATAATAAGTATCCATAAGTACCCCTTATCATCTGCCCCCTAATTTTGGAGAACCCCCCCCGAGCCTCAGGGTGAGGAAGGCGAAAGACTTCGACAGCATCGACCCGGTTGCGGACGCGACAGCTGCCTGTCGAGTGATGGTCATGGTCTCAGAGAGCTCCCTTCAAAGCGCTTTCCAAGCCTGAGATGTTGAAGGTCCGATAACGGCATGGACCGGGATGAGAGTCCTGTAAACGGGAAATGACTAAGCAAACCTAAGAAGGGAGCCCACCTTTTGGATATTTGGGGACAGGCATGTGGCACGACTACCAAGCCTTAAGCCCTAAGCCCCAAGCAAAGCATCAACGTAGCCACTGCCACATGAGGCCCTCACGAGTACCATGGGCTGCATTGCCGAAGCTGCCCCCGGGATCGCCGGCAGTCTGCTGCTGCCTCTGGGGACCAAGGACTTTTATGTTGTCTCTTCAAAACAGGTGTGTGCCACTTTTTTTTTTTTGGGAATCAGGTTTGCCGTCTTTTCGGGGGTACATGATCTATACCCATGTGAATCATGGCACTTCAAATTGTTCAGCATGGACAAGAAGAAGATGTGGCAATGAGCAGGAAGGAGGGCAGGACAGCGAAAGCCAAACGCGCAAGCCCTTCTGAACCCTCTAACCCTGAAGCCCGAAACCCTCTAACATCCTCTAACCTCGCAGTGCGGTGCGTAAGGCCTCTTGGCCGGTGAAGCCATGAGCCAGGACCTGTCGACTGCATTGGTGGCCTGCCGCCGGTTTGCGCCATTGTCTCGGATCAACTCAGCATCCCTCACTATACATCCACACTCCTACAGAGCTTCAAAAAAGTGTGTGTGTGTGTATATGAATATACGTACATTATATTCTATGCATTCTATGAGATGAAAAATATCACGTGTGCCCATATCTAGTGTCGAAGAAGTTTTGTGCGCCAAGGCTCCAGACCGCCAGCCAAAAGGCGCGCAAGCGTCGGAAGACCAGTGAGAAAGCAGCCACGTCCAAGGAGGCTCCGCTTGATCTCTCAAGAAACTTCGCAGGATGCGGGCACATGTGCTTCATAATCCACAGTAGCACCTGGTTGCTCTAGAAGTCTTGCAAGGTGCTTCAGGAAAACACCTGGTGGTGGCACGACGTCCATCCGCCGTTCTTTGTGCCATTGCGTGCCCAATTTTTGGCCCCTTTCCTCGCTCTCTGTTGCTTCTGCTTTGTTTCCATTTTACTGTTCGTGTTCTTTTTGGCAGGTGGCCTGCTCCTGCCTGGACTTCCTCGCCGCAGCGTGCAAACCCTCTGAACATGCCGGCGCCGTTCCTGGGAACTCTGGATGTTGTGGGGAAGCTGAAGTGAGCGTGGTGTGCGCGCATTAGAGCGAGGTCTTGAAGCAAAGCCCTTCGCCGACGCTGCAGAGGTGTTTGCATCTGAGTTCAATATGGTCCAACTTGAACAGTCATTTGTGGGGGGAGTCAGGAGCTGCGGGAACCAGTGGCTAACCTGCTGGACATCTTCGAGTTTCTTTCGCAGGAGCTTTCTTCGACGCGGCTATGATTTGTACTGTCAGTTGTGTTCGTTCATTTCGTTCTTAATTACCTTACATAGTGTTTCTTACATCGTGTTCTTGGCTGCTATCGTGGTTCCCTTAGCTTAGCGTTGAGTGGTCCGCTTGCCACAGGGAAGTCGGGCCGGCAAGCTGCGGTGTTAATGCGTATCGTGGCTTTGTTTCGCTCGTGGCAAGGTTCGACATGGCAGCCGAGGGCATTCTCGTCTTGTCTGCGCATGCATGCGATCCTGAACCTTGACCTCCTGCAACCATGATAAGAATGGCCCTATACGTATATGGGCTATCTTATGGGCTGAATCCAACTGTTAACCACCGACCATTCTACGATGCAGGGCCCGACAAAGCTCTAGACCCCACTATCCCGCATCCTTCCCCAAGCAAGTTAGGCGACTCTTCCGCCCTGCTTGCGCATGAGGACTCGTCGGTCGCGCCCTCGCTCCGGGCTGCCAACGGCCCAGATGTCCAAGGGCTTCGGTGCTCCAGTTTCGTGTCGTATTTGAAGCAAAGTATCTGCTATAGTATATATGTACATAGTATACTTTTTGTTATTTACATTCCAATACAAAGAGAAAAATAAGGACTGGTTTTTCGGCTGTTTTGTTTTGGTCGGGTTTCGTTGCGCTTTGTGTGTTGAGAGGCCCTCGAGGCGGCGGCGGTGGCGCTGTGCAACGTCGCCAATGAGGGCGACGTGAAGTTGCTGGTGCAGGCCAATGCTACGCGGAGTCTGATTGAATGTTTTTGAGTGGGAAACGCTGGAGTCTGGGGGTTTCGTGGCCCACTGCCACTGTCTTGCTGTTTGAGGCGATCCTGGAGAAGAGCCGCTCCGAAGATGCAGAGGCTGTCGAAATTTCGCGCCTTTTCCGCTTGTACGGTTTTGGAAGCTCAAGCTGACTGACGGAGGTGCGCCTGAACGCCGTGAGATGTGCCCATCGGATCTGGACGGATCTGGGTGTCCAGGCAGGGCTTCGGGCAGTCCGTAAGAAATTTTTTGGGAGGTTGAAATGTTGAACTGTCGAACGCTGACAGCCCAGGTGGTCGTGTGCTTGTCGGAAGTGACGATGTATGCCTCGGAGCTTCTCGAAGATGAGGCGCTGTGTGGCAGAGTCTGCTTGAAGTTTTGCTAACTCAACATAACCCAAGCCCCCCCCCACATTAACGGCCCCCCCCCCCCCCTGGTAGTATAGACAATCCCCGAAACCTCAAAGAGTTTTTGTTTTGGGGGGGGGGTTCTTATCGAAAAATCCGTCCTCGTAGCTTGCTGGCTCAGTCATGAAGCAGAGCTTTAGGGCTACCTAATGTTCGAGGACGCCCCCACATAATTCTGGGGAACGCATTCTTTTTTTAATATTAAGTTTTTTTAACAAAATAATTGCTAGGTGAAGGGATTCTACACCCCCAAGAAGCGCATGCCCTGAAGAGCCGAATGCCATGTCTTCGCCTTGCAGGACTCCCGGGTCGAGATGGCCGTGCGGGCCATGATCAAGACGATGGAGGCGCCTCATGGATGGGAGTTGGGATGTTCCCCCTTATACTAACAGTCCTTAATCAGGACTATGGTACCCCAATTATAATCCCGATTAAGGACTGTAAGCATAAGGACTTACAAGCAGCGCATCCTGCAGCTCTCTGGACAGGACTGCACGGGCGAGAGCTTGCAGGATACCCTGAAGAGCTGAGAGCGGTGCCGCATTCTGTGGCCAAGATCCTCCTCAGAGTAGACGATGTAAATAGAAGTATAAGACGGCTGGCGGCTCTAGCTCCCCAAGTGCATGTAACAATGCAATGCTTCATCGAACCTGTTGGATAGCAATACTGTCAATTCAGCTACTGATAGGAACCAACATCGTCATCGTTTCATTCTTAATCATAAATATGGCAACTGTAGCGTTCGTGAGCAAGACTCCCTCGCCTAACTGGTGCCTTCTCCGCATCGCGGGGAGCGGCTGCCGGCTGCAGATCATTGATTCAGCTTGTCTCACCCCAGTTGCGTCGAAAAAATCAGGGGGGTGGTACGGTGGTACTTGAATGATCTGCCTTCAGCTCGCTGCTTTGGGGATCGGGGGGGAAGGGGGGTGCGCAAAAACCCGCACTGTAGTCTAGCTCGCCCCAGCAGAACATGTCAAGATTGCACTGTAGATGCTTGCAGCCCAGATGAAGTGGATGGCGATTCGGCCAAACCCTCAATACTGGTGTTGCCGATGAGCAGGACTTCGTCTCTGATGATGCTGCCGTGGTACCTGTCCCGCGTCGGCCAAGCGCCATGATCCACAATCACACGCGTGTGGCCATGCCCAAGTCAAATGAAGTCAATCCACCTGTGACCATTGCACAGAAGCGATGCTGGCGCGAAAATCTATTTGTTCAACGCCGGCGACATCCAAATCAACCAGCGAAACTAACTGCCCATCTACACCGGGACTTAACATATGTGTTCATCGATAAGGCTTTTGCAGCTGCCAGTGGCAACTAGTAGTACATGTGGTACCACAGCCATGGCTGAGCTGCGCTGCTTAGCGTGTTTTCTCAATCCGCGCAACTAGCAACCGCCTTTCAGGAAGCGCAGTCCCGGCTACCCCTCCTTTGCGGACTCTCACGCCCACTTCTGAGGGTGGCGCCAAACTACAAAAACACCACTGGGTGTGAGAGAAACGGGAACTGAGGACACAGCTGACGCCTCATAGGTTCGCCAACGGGCATGCCGATAACTGGGGATAAGCCGATGAAAGCGAGTGTGAGAAGTGAGAAGGGCTCATTCAGCAGGCCAGATGCGCGCGAGGGCAGGGCTCAGGTGATGATGGAGGTCTCAGGCCTCAAGCAGACAGTAAGCGAGGGAAGAGATCGTCGATGAAATGCCACAGCCGCTGGTCCCCAGCATCGTGGAGCAGCAATAGCTGTGCCGGCAGCGGACACATCCGTGCTGTACGATCGCAAGTGCCGTGTGACTGCACGACCATCTGCTCGTGGAATCAGAACAGCTACCGCTCGAGTTGGTCTGGAAACGGACTCCGGCAGTCTGACAACGGGCAGCAGTGTCGAGGTGGCGGCATTTGCACTCCCATAAGCCCGCGCACCAACGGACTCATCAGCTTCGAAGGTGGTACGCCTATGCCCTTCGCTCGACGGCGAGCTGGTTGAAACCGGGCATGTGCATGAGCGCCATCTATGGGCCGCTAGGCGCTGGGAAACACAAGGGTTCGCAAACGAGCACGTCAGTGAGTTGACGACGCCCCTCGAGAAGTGAGCGTCCACTCGGGGCGCAACCGGCAGCGACGACCGTTCACGGAACTTGCAACGACTTGTTACCTACTGTCGTGCGCTTGAGATAATGTGTTGGTTGCTGTCTCAGTTTGGATGTTTGCTTCCATGCTGAAGTGCACTTGAGCAGCTGTGCTTTCCTCAAATGGCGCGAAGATTCAACTTGAGCGGCGCCAAAAACCTTCCATGAAAGAATTAGATTGAGGGTTCGCCTTTGATTGGCCCGCGTCAGCTAAAGTCCGAGGCGCGCCAGTGCGCGATAGTTTCTGCGAGAGAGCTCTGGTTACGAGAGCGCGCGATAGCGCGCGACAGGGTAGGTGCAACCCCAAAAAGCACGTGGGCGTCAGCGCGCGATGCGGCCTGCAGCAGGCCGCGTCAGAGCCCGCGAGAACCCTTCCATAGTCGAATGAAAAGTTCAAAGGGTTTTCGCCACTGCTCACTTGGGTGCAATAAAATATCAAACGTAGTTCGGTAATGAGAATGGATGTGAAATTTGCACAGGGGTTCTGCGGCTAAGCTACTGGCCTGTGTTTCGAGAAGGGTCCAAACTGGACTCTTTTCCATTCAGGGTTCGGCCGGGGTTGCAGTTTGAGCGCCAAACTGCTGTGCACAACATTGGTCTGGCATTTATATGGCTAGCATTCTGACAGAGATTTATGCTGAAATGCCCTTGTGTTTCCACTGGTTGCTGCCAACAAGATAGCTAGCACACAACCCTGGGCAGGTCTGTAGTTGGTAAAGGTGCTTGCAATACAGGACAAATGACAAAATGTCTTTACAGCTTACAGGTTGCTTCAATGTAAAGCACAGGAATGAACAAACCCGGTCAAAAGAAGCCCTACCTGACCCGTTCGGCGACCACACTCTTGCATGCCCGCGCACGGGCCTCCTGGCATGCCGGGCGAAAGTCGTGGAGCGTGCCTGGGTTCGCGTTGCTCGCGAGGCTGTTGGCCCAGAAGCTGGCGCGGACAAGCGCCGGGAGTACGGGCGGGGGACCAGCGCCGCCTGGACCTGGTGGTCTACGGGGCCACAAGCTGGGGTGGTGCCCTTTGCTGCGATGCCAGCATGTTGTCGCCCCTGACGCGCGAGGGAGAACCGCACCCCCGCGCAGCCACGAGGAGAATGGCAGTGGCTGCTCTGCGAGGGTGCCGAGCTGGCGTTAACCACCCCACCGCGGCCGGGAGGGACCAACCCCGACAGCGACCTCAACGCGCGCCGAGCGAGCTTCCGCGTTGGCGCACTTGGGGGAGGTCTCGGCAGCGGCGAAAGCCTTGCCGGCTCAGCCATTCGCCCCGACGAACGCTGCGACCCTTAGTGCACTCCGAGACCCCGCCCGACGCCCACCAAGCCCAGGTGCCCATCCCACCAGAACGCCTTCGCAGCCAGCCGGGCCAGGCCGCGCAACTGTGCCGCCAGAAGTTGCTGGATAACTTACTCCGGTCAGCAGTAGGGTGTGTTTGCTTGAAGAGGAGTGTGTCAACCGACTGCTCTCAGGTTTATTACTGCCATCAACAGGAGGGGGGGGGTGGGCACCCAACACTGAAGGGCGGGCTGATACCACCGGGTTCTCACATACATCATCTTGGCCACCAGGGCGCCAGCAAATGGGCAGCCGGGGCCCCAACCGCCCTTCGTTCTCAGCTTCCAGCAACGATGCATGATCCCCCATCCTGCTTCCCCTTGTTTGGGGGGGGGGGGGGGGGGTCGATAAATGCAAATTGCAAAAACGGGGGGGGGGGAGGAGGGGGGGGGGGGGTGTTAAATGCAATGCACATGTGGCGACGTGCCTGGCTCTGTGCTGCAAAGCCTGCCATGTAGGTCCAATGTGTCATGGTTGCAGGATCACTCTTCAAGGATTTTGCATTGAGCAGCAAGTCCATCAAAGGCCATGTCTCCTTGATGGTGCCAGCCATATGGGTCTCCATGACATTAGCCTTATGGCCCGGGCAAGATGATGAGCACAGCAAATCTGATTGGGCCACTTTTGCGAGGAACGGTTGAAACACATTGTTTTTAGGGCCTTAGTCCACTGGACTTTGTCTCTGAATTTGTTTTGCCTTTTTTTGGCTTAAGTCCGCTGGACTTAAGCCCCCACTGCAAATAATGATTGCGCTGCTTGCATGTATTTGGGAAAGTTTCTGGGGCTTAAGTCCACTGGACTTACACCCCCACGGAAATTGTGTCTTTATGTTGGCGTTCTGGTTTGGGCTTAAGTCCGGCGGACTTAAGCCTCCGGAGGTGGTGCACGTCCATGGGGGGCATCAATTTGCTAGACATATCACCATCAAATTGGCTGGCAAACATACGTGCGGCACGTCTTTTGGCTTAAGTCCGCCGGACTTAAGCCAAAACTTGTTGGCCTCAAAAATGGAGATCAAATGTCACTGAAGCATCCACTGGGCTTTTGCTGGTCTGGAACTTGAAAGCTGTCACATAACTGCCTTAAACGAATTTGCACAAGGTTCAATCCGCAACTGGTTGCGAATTGAACCCTGTGCAGAAACATGCATAAACAAGAGAAGAACTCATGTTGGAAATGATGGGGCGTGCGCAAGGTTCAATCCGCAACTGGTTGCGAATTGAACCGCGCGAGGAAACAAGAGAATATTTCATCTTGGAAGCAAGTCAAGGCTGGGCCGTGCCGACATGCTGGCTGTAGCACTTTCACCCATTTTCACCCTCTGACGTTGGGAAGTTCTCAATTGCATTTTTCCGTTGAGGCATGCTGAAACGACGTCCGAAAATGCGGATTGCACTTTTCAACCTCCCTCCCTCGCGGACATGGGGGATGATGCATGCGCGACGACGAGCTGTGTAGAGGTGTATATAATGTCGCAGTGCTCCCGGGCGGATTCGCCACATCGCCCCGCCTCGCGGCCACCGACGCCTCACTCTCCGCTCACCGTAACCCCTTTTGGCGCCGGTGGGTGACGAAGCTGTGTGCCCGGTTTGCCTAGACACCTTTGACCCCACGGCTGCCGGTGGCGGCGAGCGCGTGCCCTTCCCCACGTGTGGCGCGCACCACATGCATCTTGCCTGCCTGGCGCAGTTTCGTGCCCAGGCATCTGGCCACTCCGAATTGCTTTGCCCCTTGTGTCGCCATAGTTTGTGCCCTGCATGTGACCCTGAAGGTTGGACTGGCAGGGAGGACGAAGCACTTCGGGACATGTGTGCGCATCGCGGCGTTCCCATACCGAGCCGCATCTCGGGTGAGAGTACCGTGCGTGCTGCTGTCCCGCATTACGCCGTGCGCACTTTCACATCGCACGACGCGCCCGAGCCGCGCCCGCCGCCAGGCGTTCGGATCCTGTGCTGTCACCATGTTGCGGCGATCGGCCGCACGGGTGCCTCCGGCGCGCTGCGCATCTCGCGCCGCGCTTTGGTGGGCTGGGCTTGCGGGCCGCGACCGCTATGCGGCTTG